CTGGGAGACAAGGAAGTAACACAAATCCATGCTTTGCTGTATGTGTGTGAACTGAGTTGCAGTTGCAGTGACCAGTCACCACAAGCTTTGGGAGAAGGGAAATCACACCACAGGTCATGATACACATCTGTTATGGACATAGTAGTGTATGGATTGCAGATGTAGAAGCCGTGTGTGTGTTTATGTACTTAGAGTTAATGCCCCACGATAACTGATGATCTAGTCAAGTTGTTGGGAGATGGATATTACTTAACTATACATGGTGTTAGACATTTGTGTACAGAAGTATCACATGAGGCTAGGTCTGCTTGCATTCCTACAGATACGACCTTACATGGTGCCCACTTTCATGGACAATTGGTTTTTTGTTTTACAAAAAGCTAAAATTGTTTTAGTAGGTCTAGCAGTTAAGCCTGCAGTCCCTATTGCACAGGAAGCATTATATCTAAAACAAAAGTCTAGTTGAGAGCAACTAAGAAAAAAGAAAATCAGAAGCAAATATTCATTTTCTTCCTATGAGGAAGTGACATATGCCAGGGAATACAAAAGTCCTATAGGGATAAGACCAAATGCCCACAGCACAAGCAGTTTCTTTTCCCTCACGTACCCAGGTCTACACAGTAAAACCACACATGGTCCTAACTTTGCTGGCCCTGGCAAGTACCCTGAAAGGGCCTGAAGAGTCCCATAACTGTGGGGAGATCACTGCCTGACAGCCTCTTCACATGTAAGACATTAAATATTCCTGTTTTCAGAGGATGCTAGGCATACTATGTTCTCTGTAAAATAAATTTTATGGGGAGACACTTTGATAATTATGTAAATACTCTCTTCCTCACCAAAATGTCCTCCACTACTGGTCTTGAGATTCATTGATGATATTTGTGCTAATGCTTTGTTATATTCATGGTTGCCAGTGCTCACTTTTCAAATCATTCATGTCTTCCGTGTATTAATATTATAATTTATGCACCTACTGAAGGGTAACTTAGTTTCTTTTTAAAGTTAGTTTTTTAGGTTTTTTTTTTTTTTTTTTTTTTTGTACCGGGGATCAAACTCCCGACCTTGCGCTTGCCAGGCAGGCGCTTACACGGCTGAGTTAAATTCTTAAGTTTTAAAGTTAGTTTTTATCTGTTGAGAAGTAGTTATTTTGTACTGTAAATGGGGCTTTGTTAGCAAAAGTTAAAAATTGTTAAATATTATTAACAATTGAGAACCAATCGTAAATAAAGATAAAACTTCCAGGAAATACTAATGTAAGCTGTAAGGGTGATTTTTCAATTCTTCAGCTTAGTTTACCCTTATCTTTACAATGGTCTATGTCAGCAATTCACAGCTGTGGCCTGGCCCACCCCACAGCCTCATTCCACATGGCTAAGGAGTGAAGTGTAGTTGTCAAATGACTGAAAAGTTCTATCTTTATTATCTTATTGCAGTGCCGGGGATGGAATCCAGGGCCTTACACGTTAGCAGGCACTCTACCACTGGTCTATACTGACAACCCAAGAAGAATGTTTTAAAACAAGTGAAAGAATACAGAAAACACAAATTACTTTCAGGAAACTTGCTGAGTCTTGATAGAAGAGGCAAGCAGCCCTAGAGATGTGGAGGAGCCTCTGGGAAATGGATCTAGTCCAGCAGATACTCCTGGCTTGCCCTGTCCATTCTACCTTGGCGATTCACATAACTTGATCTGTTTTCTTATTCTTTTATAAAAGGAAAATACTGGATTCAGATATCTAGGTTTCTTAGGCTACTCTTGGATGCCTTGGTGATGTTACTCACTTCATTCTTCCTGCCTAGGCTGACAGGCTTTTTATTAAAAAAGGCAATCTCCCTTCATCTTTCTTTTCCATTAACGTTTTGACATGAATTGAGCTAATACATCAGTTTTTATCTCTGCAACAGCTTCAGAAATCTCCAGAAATTCATGCTTCCGTTCTGTTTTATCTCCTGTCGCAGTGACTTGAGGACGCACTTTGTGGAATGGGTAGAGATATTTATGGCCTTATTTTGTTGCATGGCTAACTTGTCTCACGATGGGCCTGTGAGTAGGTTATTCCCTTCCACGGCAGCAAGCCTCCTGCCCGCATTTGCCATCTGGTGTTGGAAGCCTCTATCTAAGCAGGGGTTTGTTTCGTTAATGAGCAGTCATTGCTTTCTGCTTTGGCTTTAGTATTCCTGACATTCTTGTTACTGCTGGAAATTGGAGAATCCCAGTGCCAAGTAAGAAGGTACTTGGAGCTATTTTCTTAACAGAAGATGCTCAGTTTTCTCGTTTGGAAAACAGGGTGTTTGGATGAGAAGGTCCCTGCCCACTGAAACCATCTATGTCTTTATGGGTTGTAATGACTTGTGTGTGTGCTTGTGCACCTAGACAGAGACTGTGGCCCATGGAGAAGGCCCTGGGCCATGCCAGACATGGAGTGGATGGCTACTAGGGTCCAGGCAACCTCGGGATGAAAGAGCCATTGCCTCATGAAGAAAATGCTAATCCTATTTTATAACTCAGCTACATTGGCTTTTCAAAAATGTTACAAATTTTCTTTAAGTAAAGCTTTGATTTCTATATTATGAGACATTATACACACTACAAGCTGGCTACCTCTTGATCAGGCTCGTGCCACTGTTTCATGTAGTCCTTATCTGGTGCCCCATGACATCTTTTGGGACTCAAAACATGCCAGCCTCATCTGTGACTTGGTGCCCTTGTACTCGTTGTTCCCTCTCCCTGAAATGCCCCTTCTAGAATAGCCGCCGGGCTCTCTCCCCAGCTGCATGCCAAGCCATGCTCAAACAGCATCTCTTAGGAGAACCATCCCATTCCGCCTTTCAGTTCTTATGTTTGCCTCCCCTCATCACAGCACTTGCTGCCATAGGCAGCATAGTTGATAGTCGTCTATCAGTGTGTTGTGCAGGGCACACAGGAAGTACTTGACAGGGGAGTATAGGAATAAGAAGAGCAAAAGCATCCTCTTGGTTCATGGGTTAGGGTTCTCCCTGAGCCAGGACATCAGCATCAGTTCTGGACACTCTTGTTTCTAATGCGTCTTGTAGCTTTTTGCTTTCATGATTCTGCTTCCATATTCCATTTCTGTGGATGCGACTGCTGTGAAAGTGTTTACAAAAATCAGGTAAACTGGAACACAGAGTTTTACTGTAGCAATGTTGATCAACCTCTCAGCTCCAAAGTTATTTGACAAAAGTTGTGTAATCTGTCATCAACAATATTGATCTGTTTGTAGGCAGTTAGGTCATCTGTCAGTTTGACAATAAACCCCACCATGCTAGAGAAATGTCGGGGTGCCCGGTGCAGTGTGGCTCGGAGCCCCTCAGAGCCTGGTGATGGTGGATATTCTATCTGTTGCATCATTTACCTTGGTCCATGCAGCACTTGGCTGTTCGGAGGGAGGGAGAGCTGAATTGCATCAGGTGGAATTAACCGACTCGGGTGTTCATTAAGACAATGGGATCTGAAACCATGTGTGCTGAGATCCATTCTGGGCAAGGAAAGTGGTAAAAGAAGATGGGTAGGGGCTGGGAAGAAGCAGAGGGACAGTGAAGGAGGCTCATTTGGACAGAACACTGGTGATAATGGCAAACCGAAGGTGTGGTCGTATTGTGATTCAATGGCTTCGGAGGTGGAATAGTTATTAGTCATAGACACACGAAAGGGGTGGTCACGGTTCTGTGGCTGATGTGAAATGGAACAGGTGACTGAGAATGAATTTACAGGAATGGCTGAGCATGGTCTTAAAAGGATTGAAACCCTAAGGAGTGGTGGAGGTTGGACTGGAGAGAAAGCATGAGGTAGGCATCGGTGAGAAGGAGGAACAAGGGAAGGGTTGGTAAAGAAGGACCTCAAGGAGGAGGAAAGACACCCCGGAGACAGAAGGACGGGCAGGTTTGTTTGCCTGTAGGAAGCTGTAGGAGAATGGCTTGGCCCTGGCTGTGGGGAACCCAGAGGTCCCAAACTCAGTCCCTTACCCTGAGAATGAACGCCTGCCCTTTGAGAAGCCAGCGGGACAGGCCCCTTCTTGAGATGCATTGAGAATAAACACTGAAGACACAGGAAGGGGTTGCTGTTTATGGAGGGGCAGTAAAGAGGTCGCAGGGGAGGTTTCCTAAGTGACGGGTGGCAGTCTTGCTCAGGCTGGAGCTTAGCAGAGTTTTACGAAGATACTGGTAAAAACCAAGATCCCTGGGGTGTATGTGGAGCCCAGCACACTTGAGTTTGGATGTTGACTAGGGTGAGTGAGACAGATACAGGGACTGGGACTTTATTCCATCAGTTTTTGGAGAGCTAGACCCTTGCCTGACTACTGAACATCTGCTGTGAGCTGATAGATGTTCAGCCCTGTGAAGTATGCCTGGTGTTATGCCCTGGTGGCAGATGGGACTATCAGATTAGACCAAGAGGGAGTTCGAGACCCCATGCTTGCCCAGCTATTGCCCTCACTTGAGTGAGCCCTCTCTTTACTTCACTTAAGTGTCTGTTGCCCATGACACTAGACGAACCCAGAAGGCTCGTTAGAGAAGATGCCTGGCATTCACGCAGCAAAGTAGTCTGCAGGAACGCCCAGGTGCTAGGCACTTATGCCAGGCAGTTCCATTCAGTGCTAATTAATTGCCCTATGTCATTACTTCTGCCCTGTGGGTTGGGGGTTCCCCTAAATGCCTAACAAAGTCGTTTTTCATTTCAAGGTAAGGTACGTTTTCTAGTTCTTCCCTTGCATTATTTGCATTTAGCTATTTCCCATACCTTGAGTTTTTGATGTGTCACATTATGAGAGCAAAGGAGAAATTACAGTTTACATCTGTGGTGACCAAAGGCAAGCCTTTGTCACTTTGACCTCTAAACTCAGTTCCAGTTGCTAGCAAATATCTTGTAAAATTAACCCAGCGACAGTACAGGCGCTCTTAAAAAGTTGCATATATTTAATGATAGCAAATAAAATGATTTGTTAATGTGCAATTCCTTTTTTTTCTTTCTTTCAAAGATCGCATTTTTAGAGGACGCGTCTCAGCAAGATAAACTCGCCAAAGAATGGGGCTTCAAACCCTGTGAAGTGAGAGAACTGAGCCACCAGTAAGTCATCAACCTCTTCCCTTCCCTGGGTGCCATCAACTAGGATCAGATGACAGGGATGCTGCCCTGAGGGACAGAGGGACTTTCCAAATTAATTAACTGTATAACTGGGGACAGCATAGCAATTTAAAGGACAGAACTGTGACAGCGAGAAGCTGCCATATTCCTGCATTTCTTCAGCAAATGTCTGGTGTGCCTACTGTGTGTGCTTAGCCAGGCCTCACAGAGTTTCTTCCAAAAAGGAAGTGGAGGTGGGGAGAGAGACAACTGATAAACTGTTGGCGTGTGGAGTTTGAAAATAATTACCCTTACAGCATGAGTAGGGAAGACCTATATTGAGAAGTACTTTTGAGCTGCAATTTTAGTGACTTTTAACATTTGTGTAAACTGTGTTTCCTGTGGTCGGGTCCATGTTTTTATAGGCTGCTTGATTTGTTTTCTAGATGTGGGACTGCTTGGCCAGGTTTGGTTACACACATTTGTAATCACAGCTACAGGGAAGGCTGAGGCAGGAGGATCACAAGTTCATGGCTAATCTGGTCTTTGTAGCCAGTCTCTGTCTCAAAACAAAATAAAGGGGCCTAGGAGTGCAGAGCTCAGTGACAGGCCCTTTCCTAACATGCAGGAGGCCCTTGATTCAGTCCCCAGCACTGAAGAAGGGAAGAGGGATGCTTGTTTTCTGCTCAGATAACTTAAATATGTTATCTTAACTCTTTCCAAAGTCAGAACGTTTTCTTATGAAGACACTTACATTACCTGAAAATCGTTTTTTAAATAATGTAGCAGGAGCCGTATTGCACTGGGAATTTAAACACCTAGTTTAAAAGACCTCACCCTATAGCTTTGCGTCTGTTAGATGTGAAGCAAGCTTCTTCCCCCTTCTTTGAGCTCAGCTTGACCCTGGAGCTGGTCTCTAGTAAGGGTCCAGGGAGCCAGGATGCCTGTGCGTACCATTTCTTTGTGCTTATATTTGTACTCCTGTGCCTTCCTTCTCGGTGCTGTCCCTCAGTAGCTTGGAAAGATGGGGGGAATAAACCTGAGGATTAACACAGTAACTCCTGGCATTGCTGTTCCTTTACCTTCCCGGGTTTGGGTATGTGTAGATGCTTAGTAGACACTGGAGAACTGGATCAGCTCTGCAGGAGAGCTGTAAGTACACACAGGAATGCAAATGCTGATGGATGGATGAGATTAGAAACATCTGGGGAATGGTAAGCACAGCACAGAAACTCCATCCCTCGTCACTTAACTATGCTATGCAGTGGCCCGTGTGTGGTCCCAGCTCCTCAGGTCACCTGTCGCCGATCAGCCCCAGTTTTCTTTCTTGTGTTTCTGTTTCACAACTAGTACCTTGAGCCCGATGGGAAGGACTAGATAGCTTGCAGACAGCCAAGACCAAGGTGACCATGGGACCAAAGCTGTAGACGCTGTGTTCCCGTCTTCACTGTTGCCTTATGGGTACCTTCCTCGGCCTGGCCCTGGAAGTCCTCAGAACTCTCCCATCTCTGTGCCCTGTCTTACAGCCACCCAGCTGTGAGACCCAGGGCATAGGATGAGGTCCTGACTTCGCTCTGTTCTTGTGATACAGCTACTTTGTTTCTGCTGACTGTGGGACTTCTTCCTCTCTGTCATCGCTGGTTGTCTCTGCACCTGCCATTTTGACACAGAGCTCTGTCTTCCCCAGCAGACAGTCAGCCTTATTTCCAGATCTCTTGATAACAGGAAGACTTAACACTGTTAGACTGCTGTAAACAGGCGAGGGATGGGTGACCAATGCAATGACTGTCAAGAGAACGTGTGATTGGAAAGATGACAGAGAGCAACTAACACTGTCATTGAATGCTTTTCCTCTGTTGTTAATTTCCAGTGAGTTCTTCATCCCTGGGCTGGTAGACACACACATCCATGCCCCTCAGTACGTCTTTGCTGGGAGTAACGTAGACCTGCCACTTCTCGAGTGGCTGAAGAGATACACGTTTCCCACGGAACTTAAATTCCAGAACATTGAGCTTGCCGAGGAAGTCTACACCAGAGTTGTTGTAAGTATCCTGTGTGTGAGTGTCACGCTTGGTCATTTATACAAATATCCATTTCTAGAGCCAGATTTAAGTTATGCAGCATCACCTGTTAGGGCTTAGATGGACCATGACGATTTCTATTTGTTGTGCAGTCAACTGCATATGTGTGCATCCTTGTGTGCCATGATCCTAGGCCTCTCCCAGAGTTTATTATCTTGTGAAGAAGTGGGATGTCTCAGGGATGAGTGACAGTGAGGATGGCAGGAATTACATGTGTAACTTGAGCTGGCTGTGAGGAGAGCATCTCTGCAAAATGCAGGGAGAATGATATGCAGAAGGATCAATTCATGTAATACAATTAAGGTAGCAACTGAATTGTTTTAGGAGACTGTTGCTTTGGTTTCTGATATGTAAACCCTTGTGCCCTGGGGAGTCATAACCTCTTTACCTTGAGGCTCCTACACAGTTGACATTCCCGGAGCTGATGGCTCTAACATTCTGCTGTGCTCATCTTTCACAGAGAGCACTATGTGATGAAACAAGAGACTGTCTGATGGCTTTAGAGATTACATACCAGCACCTGAGCTAGCCTTATTTGCAATGCTTAGAGCCAATTGAAGAGAGAAGGCCATACCATAGCCAGCTCTGTACATAGCAGTATAAGGAAGTAAGTCTCCATATAATCAAAGTTGCAGCAATTGTTCTGCATTCAAGGGGAGACACTGGAGTTGTCTTCCTCAAGCACATTGTAAGAGCCCTGTATGTTTTCTTTAAAATACCCAAGGAAATAAGAAATTAGAATTTCAAATTACTGGTAGAAGATTATCATGTTACTTTGGCAGGTTTGCCAGGAGGCATAAGCAAGCGAGTCCCATGAGCGGTCGTGGGCCTGAGAGCCGCTAGAGGGAGCCCTGGAGTCCGTTCAGTGGGTGAAAGGGGTTTTAGTGTGTTCCAACCACAGAGGCTGAAGAGGTTTGCTTTGCTCTTTGAAAAAAATCAGGTTCTTTCTTTCTACTGCAACTTCGGGCCCAGAACCAGTGAACACGCAGTAACTGGGGCCAGCTTCTGCTGTGAAGAAGTTAGAGCTGCAGTTCCTTCTCACCTGGCTGTGGCTTCCTGCTATTCAGTACCCTTGGGCTGTACATCCTTTCGGATCCACTGCTAGCTTTTCTTCTAAGGTGCTGACAGGGTGACAGTCCCTCGGCACAGACAGATAAGCCGTCCTGACACTTTCCCTGGGCTTGCATCGTTCAGAGCAGCAGGAAGGGCTAATAGTTATACACTTGGCTTGTGTAATGGTGGGACTCACGTATATCCTTAACGTGCCTGCACACGACACACCAGAAACACGGAGAAGGGTGGAGAGCTCTGTGTGAGGTTACTGGCTCACTGCGTTAATGAACTGTGTTAACCACATCCAATTTTTATTCTCAAAATTTATTTATACTTCACATTGTTCTAAAAATGGTTTGAGATGATTAAAATTACATCGTATACAACAAGAGAAAATGAGTCATCACATCACAGCTAAGAACAAAAGGGAAGTGAGAAAGATAAAAACAAAATCAAGAAGTGGACCCATGTCATCAGGGTGGGGTGCATGCACCTGTTAGAGCTTGTCATGGGGTTGGCTGTCAGTGTCTATTAACTGGCCAACAGGGAGAATCGGTTATGGGATTTCTTTAAAAGTAGTCCTGAATTGTTTATTTATTTATTTATCTTTATTTTAAAGAGAAAAACAAATTTTTAAAATAAGATAGTAACAGAGTAACAATGGCTAATACATTGCTCTGTTATCTTTAAATTAGTTACACAGAGCACAAGATATCAGCATTTAATGTCCAAACAATGTCAGCACAAACCTTTCTTTTCAATGAACTAACAGAAATTAGTAGTATAACTATCTTACTATCATATATATATCTTTTCCCTTTTCTGTATTCTCTTGTTTCTCTTTCCAGAAGCTTCTTTCCCTTTTACAATTATCTGTTATACATTTTGGATCTTATTTACTCTTTCAGCTTTTCACACTAGGGAGACAATAGGATGTTTATACATCGTATTGTGTGTGTCTGGTTTATTTCACTTGTAAGGATGGTCTTGAGTTGTATCCATTTGCTTATAAAGTCTCCAGTCTAGCCTGCTTTATAACCGAGTAGTACTCCATTGTATAAAAAGACCACATCCTTTTTATCTGTTCCCCAGTTGATGTTCATTTCAGTTCTTTCCAAGTTCTGTTACAAAATATGCTTCTATAAACACCGGTGCATACATATATCACTGTGTACAATGTTTTTAATTCTTCTGGGAGCATACCCAGAAGAGGAATAACTAGGTCAAGTATACCTCCAATCTTATGTTTTTGAGGGATCGCCACCCTGATTTCTGCAGTGATTGCATCAGTCTATGTTCCCACCAACAGTGGAGAAAGGCTCCTTTTTTTTTACAGTGCCCCACCAGCGTTTGTTATTAGTTGATTTCTTGATGATAGCCATTCTTTCCAGGGAGAGATGGAATCTCAGTGTTGTTTTAATTTATATCTCTCAAATGACCAGTGATGTTGAACATTTTTTCATAGATTTATTTGCTGTTTGTATTTCTCCATCTCAGAAGTGTGTATACATCTCACTTGTTGGATTGGGTCTTTAAATTTAGGAGGTCTGATTTTTTGAGTCCTTTATATGTTCTTGATAGAGTTATAGAATGTTTTAAGGCCATATTTGCCAAATGAAGCATATCTATTCCTCTTCCTAAAATTTAAGAAAATTAATCCCAGTATTCCTTGATGTGGATAAGTGCTGTATTTTCAAAAAATACATAGTGTAAAGGTGCTGTAGTATAAAAGGTCAACTAGATTAGACTTTTATGTTTAGAAAGATAGACTATCAGGGACCATATGTCCTTCATGTAGTACCCCGCTAATACCAGAGATTAAGTATTTGATGTCCATGAGTACAAAGTAGGTTTGATTCCTGACAAGCATTTGCATTCATACATCCTGTGTCAGATTATGAGAAGACCCATATGCTTGGACGAACCTACAGTGTGGTTGAGATCTGTTTGAGGAAGTTGAGACTTACTCAGTAGAACCTGTTTCTAGGCTGCAGGCTTCCTAGGGCAAGACAAAGAAGTACAAAGGAGGTACCCAGGCATAAAACTAAGAATTTTTTCTTTTTGCTTTTTATTTTCTCCCCTGGAAAACATTCATAGATGTACTTCAACACATTTGCTCCAGAGATCATTGCAGTGATAAACTGTTCTGCAGATTATTTAAAATATGGATTAGCCCAAATACCCTGTGATTATTAAGAGAAAATAAAACCCAATAAGCCAAACCTAGACTGTCTCCTTTGACTTACTGCAAACTGAACAAGAGACTGAAGTTTGACATAGGCCTGAGATGAACTACAAAGAACAGAAAGTTCTGTAATCTGCCCAAATTGTAATTAGGGGATAAAAAACTGAGCTCACTGAATGTGCCAAGATAGACCATTCTGTTACAGTAATAGCATGAAAATATTTTATGGGTTTTCCAGTGATTGGGTTGAGAAGGAGGAACCCAGCTAACTCCATAGATCCAGCCAGCTGTTAAAACACAAAAAGAAAGCAGAGGAAGCCAGACCGCCTCCCCGGCCCTGGAAATTAGCTTTGAAGGTCGGGTCATCTTCAGCTTGGAATTTCTTTGAGCTCCTAAAACTTGGTCTCAAAACCCTTTCTGTCAAGAATTGGTGGCTAAGGAAAGGTTAGGAAACGCAGTGACAGATTTCCTTCTGAATGGGGGAACTGCAAATAGTCATTAATAGCTCTCTGTAAAACTCATGAGCAACTGAAGTGGCACCGCGGCCTGGGAAGCCGAACCATAAAACTGGATGAAATGGGTTTTCTCATTTTTTAAAGTTATGTAAGTAACAGCTGTGCAGCTGCTTTATTAAATAAGCTGAACTGGGTAGGAGCAAACGGGAGTAGCTTTGGGTTCTTTCCCTCTCTCCTTCCATCCTCTTTGCTCTCTTTTTTCCTCCCCTTCCTCCCTCCCCCTGGGCCTCCCCTTATTCAGACCTCTGACTGTAGTTTGGGCAGGTTAATGGCCTTTCCAGTGCTTTTAGTTCACTGCAGTCTACTTAATCAGTAGTTTCCCACCCTGTTAGTTTCTCTCCCCTTCAGCCTATGCTGCTAGGCTCAGGCCTGCCCTCAGGAGAGGGACTTACAGTCCAGTATCTGGACACATCCTGTTGCCTCCACTGCTAAACAGTCAACTTTGTAATTTCCACTTCAACTTCAAAGCAGGATTTTAGAAAGATTCCTAAAATTTTGAGAATTAAAAAATATTAGATTATATTTCTGTTTCAATTTTATTTTATTCTGGTGACTGCAGATATCTTATGTGATTATTTTTCTTTGAAATAATGGACTTATTTTGTGACCTAATAAAAGCTTACTTTTTATGATTATTCTGAAAATTCTAGCAGTGCATATTTTTTCTATTGATGAAGACATTTTTCTATACCTGAGATTAATTTGTTAAATGAATTATTTTCTATCAATTTCCTTTATATTCTTCCATAAAATAAGACAAGACCCTTTGCTCCTCTTTCCTGCTTATCCCTATCCACCATTGTGTCATATCAAATTTAGTTCCATTTTATTTTTTATTAGCCATACTTAAAATGTTTCAATTTTCAAATTTAACTTAAAAGTTCATCTTAGCTTAGTTCTGGTTCACTGTTACTACTGAATTTAATGTCTACACTGAATTTAACAACCAGCTTTTTCTTTTACTACTTGGATCCTTGGATTCATTTCTCATTTGGGGACATAGTGTCTGCCAACCCTTTCCCATAAGGTGGATGGTAAGCATTTCAAATCTTCAGTGTCAAAAATGGCTTTACTTTAATTTTTGAAATTTTAGAAATGATGCTTTAGCTCGTTAAAAAACTTGTATTTTAAATTATTTACCTGCCACACCCCAATGTGGTGATGCCAGTTGAATTCTTATTCTTTTTTGGCTAATTTATTGGCCTGCAGAATTTCCTTTTTGTTCTTTTTATTTAACCACTTTATTGAAGTGTGATTGACATACCAAAAACTGTTCATAATTAGCATGTAGGATTTGATAAGTGCACCCACACTGAGCTGGCGCTACGGTCAAGGTCATAAATACAGATTTCATTAGGCCCAGAAGTTTCCTCCCACCCCCTTTTACTGTTTCTTATTTTTCTTTTTTGGTAACAATGTTTAACAGAAAGGTGATCTTTTTAGTGAAGTTTGAAGTATACAGTAGCACAGTAATGCTAAGCCTGGGCGATATGCTGTGCATTGGAGTTTTTGAAAATGTAGTCATCTAGGGTGGCCAGTGCTTTTTTATCCTGTAACTGACCCCCCCCCACCCCCTGCCCTCAGCCATGGTGACTGACACTTGACTCCATTGAGCAGTGAATCTATTTGAACTTCCTCATGAAAGTGACATTACATTAATATTTGTAGTTAGTGTCTGTCCTACAGCAGGGCAAGATTTCTTTTTTTTGTTTGTTTGTTTTTTAAAACTTTTTTATTTTAAAGAGATTAAGACAAAAGAGGACAGAACAAAGCAGATCAGAACAGAACAATATAAGCAACACAGCACTTCACCATAAGACAACTTGGTATTAACAGTAGCTACTATAATGTCTCTTTCTTTGAAATAGTTGAGCATACCTTCACACACAATAGTATCAAACATAACAAAATAGTATAAAACCATTCAAGAGAATGAAAGTACTACAAGACATTCAGAACCAAGAACCAAAAATGAACAATGGCTACTATATTATTTCATTTTCCATAAAAAAATTTGTTTATGCTACCACACATATTAAATCCAGTAAGGTACAACATGATAGAAGCAATGGAGACAGAAGAACAAAAGCATGGTAGGACTTCAAAGCAAAATGATATTAAGTCAGCACTGGCTATTATAATGTCTTGTTTTCTTCAAAATAGCTGTTCATACTATCACAGACAATAAAATCAAACAAACAAGGGTAAAACCATTCCAACTAATGAATGAAAATATTATAAGGCTTCAAAGCAATGTAATGGCGAATCATGATTACTATAAACTTTATGTACTCTTACCATTTCTTACACTAGGGAGACTATATAGTATTTATACGTGTAAGTTTGATTTATTTCGCTTACGAGTATGGTCTCAAGTTGCGTCCATTTATTTATAAATACCTCAATGTGATCATTCTTTATTGACTACCATTCCATTGTGTACATATACCACGACTTTTTGTCATTTATGTCTTGATTGTCCCTCGGGTTGACTCTGTCACTTGGCTGCTGAAAATAGCATTTCAGTGAGCAGGAGCACGTAGACGTCTCTTGAAGATCTTAATGGCATTGCTTTGGGTAAATTCTTGGCCTTGGATTTGGCTAAGTCATATCATAGCTCTGTGTTTATTTTTAGGGAACTTCTGTACTGTTTTCTAGGGGGGCTGCCCTATCAGTGTAGAAGAAATTGTTTTCCTTCATAAGCTGCCTAGCATTTATCTTTTTTTAAAATAATGTCATCTTAATAAATGTGAGGCCTCTTGGCATGGTTTTGATTGTATCATTTTTAATCTATTCATTCTCTTCAATGAGTTCTTCTTTCTTATTTTATTTTATTGTATCAGGAATTGAACTCAGCACTTTGTGCTTGCCAGGCAGGTGCTTGTGCCGCTGAGCTAGATCCCTGGCTCTAATACTTTCAATAGGAGGACTCTTGTCTTCTTTTCCAGGGAATGTACTTCTCTTTGCCTGTCTCTGTTTCTTTCTTTCTCTTTATGTACCTCTCTTCTGTCCCTTTGTGTGTGTCTCTCATACACTGTATTTCCCTTCTAACTAGCTCTTTTGTTGGTAAAAACTCTGACAAACACATTGATGCTTCCAAATCTACTCTCATGTCCCTGAGTTTTTTCTTGCTACACCCTTAGACAATGTCATGGCCGAATTTTTTTTTTTTTTTTTTGTACTGGGGATTAGAACTCGTGACCTCATGCTTGCCGGGCAGGCACTTATGCCACTGAGCTAAGTCCCCAGCCCCAGTGGCCCAGTTTTTAAAATCATTATTTCAGTCTTATTGTCATGGTAGGCCATTCACTGTTTTGCCCTGTTCACCTGAGGGTAATTTTAGTGCATTTTATGTCTCTCTCATTTTAGTTGTTCTGCTTTCTTAGGCATTCATTCTGCAATTACTGGCTGAGCCCATACTGGAATGCAGATCTTTTTCTAGTTGCTGGAGATCAAATTCTGCCATGATACTAACTTTTCGTCTGGATTCATTTTTCTGACAAAGAGCTGATTCATGTCTAGAGCACATAGATTCTAAATATTCTGTACTGGCAGGTGGATACATTTTATTTCATGGGGAAAATATCTTAAAATTTGGGAAGATTGTCATGAAAATCCAGGTTTCCGATGTTTTTTTGACCTTCAGGGCTAGCTGACATTACTGGGCTCTCTACCAAGCAGAGACAGCCAAGGGGGAGCATGCCCTTCCCAGGTGTCTTAATTCCAAACTGCCTCCCTCCTCCCGATCCTCGTGCTACTCAGAAGAACCCTGTTAGTTCACAAAGGAGGAAACTGATGTAAAGAAAATAAAGTGGCTCAGCATAAAGTAAGCAAGATGCACTCAGGAGGCTGAGGCAGGAGGATTGTTGGGAGTTTGATACCAGCCTGGGCTACAACATGAATTCAAGCCCAGCTCAAACTGTGTAGTGAGACCTCGTATCAAAACAAACACCAAAACAAAACAAAACGTAAGCAAGAGCCCAGGCTGGAGAATATTCTTCCACACTTTTAAAACATCTGCAGTAGTCTGGGCAATCAGTCCTTTCCCTAATGTTCTAGAAGGTCAGGCAGTATGGGTTCCATTTTCTTTTCATTGTTGCTTTTTGGTACCAGGGATCAAGCTCAATGATTTCATCCTTTCCAGGCAAGTGCTTGAACCTCGTAGCTAAATCCTCAACCCCTCCATTTTCTCTTTAAAGAGCTTCGTACCTCCTACAGGTATCTTATTTCAGTCTGGTTTGGATCTTTCTGCTACTACTGTAGTGTGGCCCTGCTCTTTGCCTGTCTCATGGTGCTACGCTCCCCATATCTTGGTTCCAGGAATGGTGTCACTGTCATTAAAATAAATCTCTAAAGAGCTTCCTAGGAAAGCCTTCATGGGGGCAGAAGTTGTAAGTCTTGGAATAGCTAATCATTTCGGTGTACTCTGCCCTCGTGCTTAATTAGTAATTTACCAGGCAGTGAAAGTCGACATTAACAATCACCTGTCCAGAACCGTTAGGGCCTCGTTCCCCTGCCTGCAGCATTGTTGGTAAAAAACTCCAGCACCCTTGTGATTTCTCTCACTTCCCACAACAGGTTTTCTTTTTCTGGAAGCTTTTTTTTTTTTTTTAACTTACCAACATAATAGCTCACAATTATATGACCTATTTGGGCTCTGCTTTTTATTCATTGTGCTGTGATGATTTTCATTTCGGAGACTAATATATCTCAGGTAATTTCATCTCCCCCATTGGCTTAAAGGATTGCTTTAGAAGACTCTTAGTCTAAGTGGTAAACCTCGTGACTTGGGTCCTTGTTACATGTTTGCTCCCAGCATCCCAGAGATTCTCTTCTGACTTATCCTACAGTTTTTCTGTTGGCTTCTAAGACATCGTGTATAATATTTTCACATTTGGACAGCTATTGTTCTCTGATTGGCTTAACCAGCATTCTGTTCTTAATAAGCATCCTGTTCTTATTTTGGGAATTCATATCTGATTGTATTTCTCTGAGGTATTAACTATAGTTTTTAAACTGACCTTTCTTTTGACCTTATAGATTCTTTCCTCCAAAAAAGAAATGTTTACCTCCTGTCTCACGTCCTTCCCCTTTTATAGTAGCCTTTTTCCAGTGTCTCCTGACTTTTGGATGTGTATTCATGTTTGAATGTGATGCTCTAACATGCCAGTGGGAAGATCTGGGTAGAGCTGGGAGCTGCTGACCAGCAAACGTCACTGTGGGATGACCTGTGGAAGTGGCCACAGTTCTCTTGGGAGGCCCTGAGTGTCACCATGGGGACACTTTTCTAGAAGAGAGGCTTTTCTCTGGGAAAGAATCCTTTAGGCCCCTGTCAGGAGAAGTGGGAGTACCCCGTGTGGTAGTTTTGGAAGATGATGGGGCCCTGAAGATCAGCCAGATTCATGTTTGGAGGGGGACTGTACATAGCATTCAGTTTCACAGAGAGCCTGTCTTCTACAAGGAGCAGGGTAGGATTTCAGCGTGGGGGAGCAGGACTCCACCAGGCTTCAATTATCTGCTTACCGTAGACTTGCAACTGATTCCCCCAGCACCTGCTCTGCTTGATGCCATCTTCTGGAACTTGTTTCCAAGTTCTTATTCATGAGCTTTGTCTTCTAAGAAGACACTGAAATGCTTTCCCTGCTCCTGTCCTCTGTTCTTTCTGTGGGTGAACACACTTGTCCTTCTTTACTGTGTTCTTAGTAAAGCTTGTTAAACACAACAAAGATAGATACTGACCAATGTGCTGGGGGGGGTGGATTAGAAGTCAGGCCGAATAATTTTGCTCTGTTAATAGACAGAAAAATCTCCATTTTGCATTTCTAGATGCAGTAAGACGTGGATATCCTCAAACAGTTCTAAGGAATAAGCAATTAATTAGCATCACATTTGTGAATTCTGAAACAGAACTGTGTGACTCTAGGAAAACAAAAGTGTCAAGTCTTAAGCAAACACTTTAGGAATATAAATACTTTTGCCATTTACTTAAATATATTTCACATCAAGATGGCATACCTTTAAATAAAAGCATTTGAAATTAAAAGCCAGAATTCTATTTTCATCTTGTAAATGCCATGTGATTTTTGAGAGCACATGTAATTCAGGTTTTTTGTGTGATTTATTTTTAGAGGAGAACATTAAAGAATGGAACAACCACGGCTTGCTACTTTGGAACAATTCATACTGATGCGTCCCTGCTCCTTGCAGAAATTACAGGTGAGCAGATGAAAGCAGGATTTACACACATGTCAACAAAGACTACAGCCCAGGCCTGACAACGACTTCTTCTTGGTGGACAGTCCTGCTTCTTAATTGCTAGAACTGGAGCTTTGCATTTTTTTATTTTGCAAGTAACTAGATATCTGTATGTAACTGTGGCCCTTGCATTTTTTCCTTAAGTAATTTGATTATTTACTTACAGTTTCTAGCTCCAGAAAGTTTATGCACGTGAGTTTGGTGTACTAATTTAGAGCTTTCTAGGGTAAGCTTGTTAATTCTTCTGTGGCATCAGCCTATTCAGGTGTCTTGGTTAGACTCAGGGCAGAGTGCTTAATACAGGGGAGAGGACGGAAGTGAAAATAGTCTCTGCCCTGGAAGACCCAGACAGAACACTTACAATAATTTTAGCAATATCTGCAATGCTGTGATTAGATGCCCTGCACTGAACCAAGCACTGTGCATGGGTGGAATAAGCTGCAGATAACTCTGTGTGATGGTTATTGATGTCCTCTTGGTACCAGCAGATAAACTGATGCTCAGAGGCTAACTGCTGTGCCCGCGGTAGAAAAGCTAGTATCCCAAGGGGAGACTGAATTTAGGTTGATGATCCTGCAACTTATGCCCATGCACTGTCTGGTCTGTACCGAGCACTTAGTAAATGCTAAGTAAATGTTGATGAATGTACTTCAGACACTGCACTGTACTTCAGAAACTTAGTAAATCTTGATGAATGTACTTCAGACACTGCTGATAGCCGGTGTAATCTGTACCGGAAGCCTGACGTGTGATACTGAAAGTAGTGATCAGAGGAGGCAAAGAGAACCCGACTAGATCATCCGGGAAGGTTTCATTGACAGGACCTTTAAGCGAGGCTTTGGAGGGAAGAAAACCGGGGAAAGATTGAAGTATCTCCTACACATCTGAAATGAGATGGGCAGAGGCACGAGGGCGGGTTCGCCACTGGTGGACCCAGGAAGTAGGAAACAACAGTTTAAAGGAGAAGAAGACTGCACAGTGGGGTGCTGAGGATGTTGGGCAGGTAGGGTGGTTCAGACTCTGGGGGACTTGAATAAGCATCAAAGGTGACAGCAAGTTTTAGGCCAAGGGAGTGACATAATAAAAGAGATATTATAAGAGAGACTAATTTAGTAGCCAGGTATTTAACTAAGTGACAGGGGAAAGAGAGTGACAGGAAACATTTGGAAAGATTAGTATGATAGCAGTGGGAGCTTTGTAAAAACAGCATTGCCCTATGTACCTCCCCCTTCCTTGCTGAAATAGAATTCTTGCCGCACCTCTCGTGAGTACTAGGTTCAGTAGTGCTTAGAGCTGCCAGTGATCTGAAGTCAAATTCCCCGAAGGTAGTGCTGCTGATACGGTGATAGTTAAGGAGAGCAGCAGTGTGGGATGAGGAGCGTGTCCATGGTTGTGCATATTCCTCATGGCCCTGCATATAGCAGAGGACAGTGGGAACAGACAGGTCTAGATCTCAGACAAACAGCATCTGCTTCCTAAGAATTAACCAGAGAACTAAGGTGTGTCACACTGAATTTCTCATGTTCTCAACGCTCCACCGAGCTGTGCTCCATCCGGGAGGGCACCCGGGATACACAGATGGAGATGCAGTCCGAGGCATGAGGGTGGAGTAGTTGACAGGAAGGAGACTGTGAGTAGTGGAGCAAGAGAAGCGGGAGAAAAGAGAAGAGACAGAATGTAGGTGTGCCGAAAAAGAGTCGAGTGTCTCCCTAGGATCTCAGGCTGTTCACCCTTCACTGTGTCATAAAATGAGAGCAAAGATAGCTGGCATAGGTCAAAATATAGGCAGACTGTACAGACAAAGGAAGAGCTGATTCAGAGGGACAGTACACCCCGTTATTACCCAAGGCAGGGAGAGTGAATGTGTGATTCCTGGAAGCACCTCTACAGCTTACTGTAATTACTGGGTTTGGTCACTGTTATTATTCCTCAGCGGTAAGTGGTATGATGCTAAATGCTCTTTTACAATTGCATTTTTCATAATTATCTTAATTTAAAGTATTTCTAAAAGCTTCAGAAAAGTACACATTGGAAAAGAAAGATTCCTTCAGGTTCATTTTGTGTGTGTTTCACAGATAAATTTGGGCAGCGGGCATTTGTTGGCAAAGTATGCATGGACATGAACAACAGCGTTCCAGAATACAAGGAGACCACTGAGGAGTCAGTCAGGGAAACCAAAAGGTAACAAGCCATGTGTCTGCATTTCTCTTGTGGATGAGTCTTATGGATTTGGAGAGGGAGAGAGAAAATCAGATACTTCCAACTCTTTCGGGACCTGCATGTGGTGATTCAGAAGGCTGTGTTCAGTGCAGTGTCTCCTGCTATAGAGTACCTGCTCCCACACCCTCCATGGGCACCACACCCATTGCCAGTGACCTGAGTAACCTCCTGGATGTTCCTCTGGTGCCAGTAGCACCATCCTGGGGACAGAGTAACACATGGCTCTCTGGGCGATTGTTGTCAAATTGTAGTAGCCACGTAGCAGAGCCAAAATTTAAAACCAGGGTCTGTGAATCTGCAGTTAGAGCTCTTTCTGCTCTGTGATGGCTCCCAGCTCATACTTAACATTTAAAAGAGTGTGTAAGAGAGAATCAGAAGCACGTGAGAGCATTCGTTACAGCGTCTGTTTGCTCATAAGCGATGCTGTGAGGGCACATTTACAGGATGAAATCCTACACAGGAAGTCTGGAAAAATGACTTACAGTGATAGACTCATGAAAGCCATTTGGCTACAAAAGTTGTTGTAAAAATACCAAAAGAACACATGCTCCCCGGTATAAAATACAGAGAAGCACAAAAAACTACAAAGGAGAAAAATGTCCTCTATACTGAAAGCCCATAAAGTTACCAGTGTATTGGGATTTTACTCTTTTAGTTCTTTGCAAGGTGGTGTATGCACCCCTCAGTACTGCTGCGGCCCACTGTAGAAGAGAAGGTTCTGCAGAGCCGCTGGAATGTCTGTAACCCTCTCACACAGAACATCCCTTCCCCAAAAATGTGACTTGAAAGGACATCTCCCAAAGTGTACAGAGGTTTTATGGACGTTTGATCCATGGAACACAAGCTAGAGAGAGACCTTGAGAAGGGCCAAGTCCTCGTTTGTATCTGTTAGGCATAAAACATGACTCAACAGAGGTTGTGAACAGCCTCTTTGGGGAGGTCGTGAACAACTTTGGGGAGTTTTCCACCTCAAACATTGGGTTCCATGTGCAAATCAAATTATAGAAAGTAGGTGTGTACAGAGCAAATGAGGACATATGTCCACGTAAAGACTTATATGTGAACGTTCGTGGTGTCATTACTCAATAGAAGCCAAGTGTGAATCAAGGTTCACTGTGCACCAGTATCCATCCTAGTGGAGGACTCAAAACAGCTCACCAACACCACACACCAGTGTTAACCACCTTGCACGAGTCTGCCGAGGCACAGAACACTATGCAGCAGTTAAGAGAAGTAACTTATTATTCACACACAGACAGCAGCACGTAATAGAAGCCCAGGGTTTGTGCCAAGTGGGTCCCCTGAGGTCCAGGCGGAGTGGAATCTTGGCTGTGTGTGACCTGCATTGCAATACAGCTGAGGACCCTGAAATAAGAACCACTCAGCTCTAGAGGTTTAGGACATGCTGTTCTAATAGGAAGCACAGCAGAGCCCAGGTTAATGTGGCCAGTTGCTCCTTATCTCAGATTGCTGCATTTGCAGCATGTTCTGTACTCTGAGGATAACAGAGCTGGGTTTCCAGGGTCATCAGAGGGCTTCTACAACTGAAGCGTGGGACCGATATAAATTTCTGTCAACTGGCAAGTAGATAAACAAGATGGGGCATATAGTGGCATGTGTTCAACAATAAGAAGGAATGAGTTACTGCAACGTTGAACTATTTTTAAAATAAGCCAAGAGAAGCCATACACAAAAGACACATGATTTCGTTTAAGTGAAAAGTATAGAAAATATAAATCTATAGACTGAAACTGGGTTCAGAGCTGGGCTGGTACTGAAGGCAGCCATGTGTATCAACTGTAAACAGGCTCACAGAATCTAAGCAGAGCAGTGAAAATGTTCAAAGCTAGTTTGTGATGGTAGTTCCAAAACTCAAGACAAATTGCTAACATTAGTGAGTAGTACCAAGCAGGTGAATTTTATGGTATGCAAAAAAGAAATTGCACTAAAATAGTTTTAAGAAATACATCTGAGATGCATGTTCCTAGTTCTGTCTTTTTAAATAAGGGTTAAATGGGAAGTGATTCATTTTTTAAAGTAAATATTATCTTTGCAGGTTTGTTAATTTTTTTAAATTTAATTTTATTTTTTTTTCCTTTTTTTATTTAAAAAAAGTTTAAGATAAAAGAGGTCTTAACAACACAGGTCAGAACAAAACAATTTAAGCAACATAGTGTTTCACCACAAGACAATCTGACATAACAGTAGTTACCATAGTGTCTCTTTCCTTGAAATATTTGCATATACCTTCATATACTATAGCATCAAATATAACACAGTGTAAAACCATTCAAGAGAATGAAAGTATTACAGGGTATTTAGAACTAACAGAAAATGAACAGTGGTTACTATATTATTTCCTTGTCTATAAAAAATTTTGTTTATACTATCACATATAATAAAATCCAATAAGATACAACATGATAAAACCGATGGAAACAGAAGAACAAAAGCTTGATGGGACTTCAAAATGAGATTATATTAAATCATCACTAGTTATTGTAGTGTCTTATTTTCTTCAAAATAGCTGTTTATACCATCACAGACAATAAAATCAAAAAACCCAGAATAAAGCCATTCCAACTAATAAATGAAAACATTATAAAGCTTCAAAGCCATGTAATGGGGAATCATGATTACTACATAATTTTATGTATTCTTACCATTTCTTACACTAGGGAAACTATTCGGTATTTATACATGTGAGTTTGATGTATTTCGCTTATGAGTATGGTCTCAAGCTGCGTCCATTTATTAGTAAATATCTCAATGTGATCATTCTTTATAGCTGAGTAGTACTCCATTGTATAAAAATACCACATCTTTTTTAATCCATTCCTCAGGTGATGAACACTTAGGTTGCTTCCAAGATCTGGCTATTACAAATTGTGCTGCTATAAACATGGGTGCACATATCTCCCTGTTGTATGATGTTTTCAGTTCTTCTGGGAATATGCCTAGAAGTGGAATACCTGGAGTTTTTTTTTTTTCATTTTAGTAAAATTTTAAAGAAAATAAAAATTTCAAAACAAATTTCAAAATTTTGAAGAAAATAAATTTTAAAATAAAAATTTCAAAACAAGAGAATAGGAGAATAACGATGGTTAATACATTGTGTTTTGTTAACTTTAAATTAGTTACTCAGAGTACAAGATACAGACATTTAATTGTTCAAACAATATTAGCACAAACCTTCTTTTCAATGAACTAAGAGAAAGTAGTAGTATAACTATCTTAATTTATATATATATATTTCTGTATATATATATATATATATATATATATATATATATATTTCTGATTGGTTTTGCTTTTCCCTTCATTCTTTTCTCCTTTCTCCCGTTCCAGTTTTTACATTTGAAGAGAATGATTTGGTGTACAGAGACTTTGCAGGCGTAGATGCATCCTCAGAGATTCTGTCTGTGCTTTTCTGTCGTGTAACAGCGCTTCCCTTGCTGCTTCGCCGTTCCTTCCTCTCATTTTTCTACCTGAATCCCACACAGTTGAAGCAGAATTGTTTTTAAAAGGCCAAGAATCTCAAGATGTGTCAGCACACTCGGGCTTCCTTTTTGATGTAGAATTAGGGGTGAAAGATGAATTTATCCACCATTTAATCCTCTTCCCATTTTCCGTGGACCATGTGTGGATTTATTCAACTTGATGAGATTGCTGTGTTACTTTAAAGCTTTTGCACATCAGAACTATTTTTGTGCATCAAATTGTATTTTAAAGTCTTGGGGAAATTACCTTAAGAACCCTAGTGAAAATCCCTTGGTAAAAGGAAGGATTTCTTTTTTTAAAATGACCCTCTCCCTCTCCTATATGGTATCAGGGTCCTTGTGAAGATTGAATTTGCTGTGAAGTGGGCATGGTCTGCTCAAAAGATTACTTTGGCTTGTGGGCTATATTACTGCTTAAGACAGTGAATTTCCATTGTGTTCATTGTGATACAATAAGGGGGAATTCTACTGATCAGATAGGGACCTTTCTTACAGGATTGTAAATGGCTTTTCCCTACTACCTTGAGTAATTAATAAAGATTCATTGTGTTTTATTCAATGTCCAAGGAACAGAGAAAAAAATTCTTTTGACACAGATATTTCCCCTGGGGAAAAAACACCTAGCCTAATTCAAGATTTAGAAACCCAACTTTGTTTTCATCTCTGAGGCCTTGATCAGGATAAGTATTTCCTCTTGAAAGGAAGGCAGAGGGCTTGCTGCACGCACAGAGTGAAGAAACAACCTACTTTCCCTTTACCATTGGTTGCTTGGTTGGTTGGTTATGTGCTTAGCTTCGCTGGTAATCCACTTTTGTGGGCCTTGTAAGCTTTAATTTACACTTGATACTGAATCAAAAGAATACCAGAAGATGGGGAATTATGATTAGTAAACTAGAACTTTGGCCAGGGTAGAAATAGCCATTTTAAAGCCTTTACTTATAACTGTCATCATTCATGTAGCAAAGCTGATAGGATCACCATTCAGCCCGCTCACCACACTTTAAAACCATCATTGGCCCATACCTTCTGCCCTACTCCAGTGTCCACCCTGGTAGGACCCTGGCCTTGGAAGTCAGTGCTGCTCTTATGTGAAGCAGTAGCTTCCACATTAGGGAGATTAGAAGTAGCCCCTAGGCTGCTAAGTGCCTTCATGTGCATAGAGATCTGACTCCAACAGACTGGGAGCCCCACGTCTTGCAGTTTTCCCCTGCGGAGTCTGAGCTAGCTCAGCAGCTTGAGTGGTGTGGGAATACTTAGGGACAGCTCAACTCACGTTAGAATGGCTGCAAATGAGGAAGAGTAATCACTGCTTGCTAACCTTCAGTTAGTGGTGATGAAGCCATGGACATGCAAGGATCGTATTTTTACCCTTTTAATAAAGTTCATTTGAGAATAAACTTTTCTAACTTCCCATTTGTTGCTTTGTTTCAGGTTTGTGTCAGAAATACTTGGAAAGAAGGTAGGTAAGATTGTTCAGAGTTTGCATTTTGCGTCTCTGCCTCATTAACTGTAGGATCCATTAAGCTGATAGAGGTCACTCTGTGTGCATTTAGCTTATTCCGTGCCTGAGGAAGTTTGTTCCTAGAACCTTCATCTGTTAAAGTGGACCCATCTCAGTGAGGTCAGGCATTTGAATTTTAAAATATCTAATTGACAAATAACTATTATAAATATCCAGTGTACGTAACAGGGTGATTTGATACTTGCTTTCATTATCTAATGATGATCATAGTTTAACACCAAAACTGTAGATGCTGGAATCTTTTCATTTGATCAGTGTCTCCCCATGTAATTGAGACATCTGATTTCTGGGTATCTATCCAAGGAAGCAAAATCAGTGTCTCAAAGAGATGTCTGCATTCCTATGTTCATGCAACATTATTTACCATAGTTGAGCTAAATAAGTGTATGTGGACGAATGAATGGATAGATGCACATGGGGTGTATCTCTATGTATACACATGCAATGTACCTATAGACATATAGTGTATATATTGTGATATTATTCAATGGTTAAAAAAGAAGGAAATTCTGCCACTTGCAACAGCATGGATAAATCTATCAAAGCAAAGCAAAACAACAATCTATAAAGCATTATGCTAGGTCAGAGACACCAGCCCTAGAACACAAATGCTACTTGGATTCATTGATTTGTGAAATCTGAAAAAGAGATAGAGGTCAGGCATCTTTTTTCTTTCTACTGAAGGATGTGCAGCCTTACATTTAGACCTCTGTGTTTATTTCTTTGTTTACTTTGACACACAGCTTTGAAATCAGGAAATGCTGACTGTAGTATATTTAATCACCACTCATGTACCTGGAGCGTGAGGTCTGCTTTATTTCTCTAAGTTTGGGTGCATTTCTTGGTCACAGAGCTCATGTATAGGACCCCTTGGCCACCTGCTCTGGGAAAATGCCATTGGGTCAGGTGGGTGAGCTTGATCCTAGCTGTTAGCTAGAATCACTAAGCTGTTAGCTAATTTCAGATTTGAAACTCTGTCATTGCCCAGTGGAGTGTCTTTCTCCTCTAGGACCTTGTAACTGCACAGGACTTTGGGGAGGAGAGAGAGCACTTGTGATGCTATATTTGGTGACCTTCTCAGTTCCTGGCCAGAATCCCCATGCAGTGTTGAGTCTGGATGCTCACAGCGGCCTGTTGGGTCCGGCAGAGAGTCAGCTCGCTGTCACTGGCGATGTCCTAGCGTCGATGAGCCTCTGCAGACAAAGTTATTTCCTGTGTCCTGCCCCACAGGCTGGTCCATGGCTGCAGATCATCTCTCAGACTGGCTGACTGGACCCTTACTTTACCATTTTTATGATCTAATGACAATGACAAGAATCCCTAGAATTTCTTCTAGCTGAACCTGGGGACAATTAGGTGGAACTTTGTAGAGCCTCGTGTTACCACCCCACTCTGTGTCCTTCCCTCCTGCCCAGCCTCGCAACTTAGGTGGCATCAAAGGCCATCCTGCTGCCCGCTGAGCGGTGGCCAGCATATCTCCTCAAGGCGTGGAAAGGGACATAGCCCCCCGCCTCACTCCTCAGCCCTGTCCTTTAACTCTTCTCCTTATGCTCCAGTGCTCTTTGGCAACGCTCCCCAGCCTGGACCTCCTCTGCTTCTGTGTGAGAACGGTCTTTCTTTTGGGACAGGTCTGTCTTCTGCTGACCTTGGTGCTGCAGAATGTATTACACATTATTCTCATCTGTGAGTTGTTTCCATGAAAATGACTCTTAGAATTGGGAACTGCACTCAAAATGAAGATGTGAGAGTAGCGTGCCATGTGATAGGCATCGTGGGATGCGTTGTGTGTTCATGATCTCTGCGGTTTCCTCACCGTTATTTTTGTTCTATCCAGTACCCCAGGGTGAAGCCCATAGTGACTCCGCGGTTTTCCCTTTCCTGCTCTGAGGCACTGATGGGTGAACTTGGCAGCATTGCCAAGGCCCATGAGTTGCATATTCAGGTAGGTGTTTTGCTTCTGATTGTGCCTCTGTCCAGACCTGAAAGATTTCCCAGTACCCTAAATTGTGACTTCCAGTTCTGCTGAAATCTCTTAGAGTCAAAGCATTGCAGGGCAGGACCATTGTCAGTCCAGCTCCTTAACTTCTCAGGTATGGAAACTCGGTGTACTCTAGCCAGTCTTCGAGAGAGGAAAACGTCTGTGTAATGAATGGCAAGATCAGTCATGGGCTGTTCTCTGTGGGCTCCAGTCAGTGCATTCTTCCCTACTTCCCTTTCATTTCACAGCTTCTCTGTATTCTGTACCCACATTCTTGGAGGAGCCATATTTCAAAAAACAAAAACTAATTTCTACCTTACAAAAAGGCACTGAGAAGCCCTTTGTTCTGAGTTCCCTAATTTGAAACCAGGAATATATATATATATATATATATATATATTGCTCTGTCATTAAATTGTTGCAGTTAACAATTAGAATAAAACACTTAAAACCTTAAAACCTCAGGTTAGAATTGGGAGCTCTCCTCCTCATCTAACCTTAATTGCACACTGTATTATGATTTCTCCTCCTAAGAGTTGGCTATCTTAGGAAAGGGCAACTCAGGGTAAAGGCAAATTACTGATCTTTACCATTTTGTTGGTTTAAAAATATATGTTCATCTTCTTAGGTCCCATTACCTCTACTTATCTTTCTGTTTTTATTAATTTTGGTCTCTGATATTTGAATTTTGGATTGAGTCCCATGTAATTATCTCCTGGAGATAAAATTAAAGACCTAGATGATGTTTCTACTTTTAAAACCAAATTCTTCTGTTCTTTAAAAAAAAATAAAAGTACAAATCGCATTTACAAAGATCTAAAAACTAAAATGAAAAAGACATGCCATGAAGTCTGTTTTTGCTTCAAATCTGTACAGATGTCTGTGTTTTTGCTCACATCGACCAGAATCCAAAATCACATGAACTGTCTGGTTGGCCTTTCCTCCCTTCTTCTGTCCAGGCGGTTAGCAGTGGTCTGAGAGTCTCAAGGCCAGGCGGAGCCAGGTGAAATCACCAGCTGTGGAACACTGCTGTCTTTTCCTGTCATTTGTCTGGCTCTGCATATTCTCCCTTATTCATTTGCTATTATTTCCCATAATTTATACTTATCACCAATAGCTTAGAAATGGTTTTTCGTTAGCCTGTGGGTTAGAGTAGGTACTCTTTTTCTTTCTTTGAGACAGGGTCTCACTGTGTAGTGCAGGTTGGCCTGGACTCACTTATGTAGCCCAGGCTGATCTGCAACTCATGAAATTCCTCCTGCTTCAGCCTCCAAGTGCTGGGACTATGGGTGTGCCCCACCCTGGCCAGCTGGAGTGGTTACTCACAAGTATTGTGTCTCAGAAATGCCTTACGTTCTCTCAGGTCATGTGACCTGGAGAAAGGTCCGTGTGGGGGCCTCTGACTCACTTATTTTGCTTGCACTTGGATTCCTGTGGCTTCTTCCTTAATGACAACAGGATTATGCAACTTGGTTATTTTCAAACTATTTTCTGCAGGGAAACTCTGAGAAAAACAGCAAAGGGGACAGATCAGGGCTGGGGTCCCGGCGTCCTGAACCTTATCATTCTGAGGGACAACTTATTTATGCCTTTGCATGGTAGATTTCCATGAATTACAAATATGAAGTATGAATAACACACCCACAGCTAATGGAATTTAGAAAATCACTCATCTAGCCCAACCTTTTTACTTAGAGACAAGAAAAGGGAGGCCCAAAAAAGGAAAGAACTTATTTGTCCTAAGTCTAGTAACTAGGGTCGGAAATTGGGCTAAAACTCATACTTTTTTGCTCAAATTCCAGCCATGCTGTCTGTCTTGTGACGCTCTAAACTCTTTCCTAAATGGCCAACACTAGAAGACACAGGTTGCTACAAATAGCTGAATTCTTGACACACATTAAGGAATTCTTTGTATTTTTTCTTCCTACTGGAATTGCAAAAGACTTTATTAGAAAAATTTGTCTTGAGGTTATGCACACGTGTTCTTCATAGTATTTTGTTCATATCTTGTTGTGTATGATACATATAATTATTTACAATAAAACCCATGCACTAACAGTCCCCGATATCAGTAAGCAGAAACCAGCCAAAGAGAATTCGAAACCACAAGGCAGTGTGGTTTTGAATATTTTACAGAAAAAAATGTGAAACTTTTTTCTTACAGAGCCATATAAGTGAGACTCCGGATGAAGTTGAAGCAGTGAAAAATTTGTATCCCAGTTATAAGAACTACACAGATGTCTATGATAAAAACAATCTTCTGACAGATAAGGTACACTCTGTTTTATGACACAATGTATGTAAAGTCAGGTACAGTTATTTAAATTCAGTTGTGAGCTTCAGACTTTCCGTGACATGCATTCATTTACCAAACTAGGGAAAGATTCAGTGAGTGTGAGTGTGTGTGTGTGGTTTCATCCCACTCATTTCCAAGGCTCCATTCCAGGGTAGGAATGTTGTTTGTCCTGAAGACACCCTACGGTGCCATTATCAATGTGCCTTCCTGTGAGTCAGCAAAAGTGTGTCTAAGGGTCTTGTCTGTACAGAATGTAAGTAGGGGTATTAATTACATATGAAAAATTTTAAATGGGGATTGGTTAAATTATAAAATGTATCTGATTAGAATTCTGTCCAACACTGACCAAGAAGGAAGTGTACAGGCTCCCAAGGAAGAGTGCATGGTACATTTGATGAGCTCTGATGAGCAGCTGTGTTCTCACTTAGAAGAAACTGCCTGAAGGCACAGACTGAATGTTAAAATGACTCTTCCTGAGGGAGAAAGCAAAAGCATTTCTAAACTCATCAGATGTTAAAAAAAAAAAAAAGGAGTACATATTGCTGTTATAATTATTTAAAATTAATTTGAGTGCTAAGAAACCTTACTACAACAATATGATCTTTGGCCTTGGCCGTCTCTGCAATATACAAAGTGCATGCAGAATTTATTGCAGCAAATAATTTCTGAATGAGTGTGTGGCAGGAGACATAAATGTAACTGATTCAAAAAGACGCAACCCAGTTGTAAGTTATGTGAATGCCACAACATCATTTTTATCCTCCTCTGCACAGATTCCATATAATTAACCTTCAGTTTGATGTTAGTTTTATTTGCATGGAGGTTGGGAAAGTTTTATTTTAATGATAATTCTCTGGTCACTGAACCATGACTTTCAACAGAGAAGGTTATTTAGATACAGATTTTATACAGAAGGGAAAAGAATTATGCAAGAGTATTCATTCAAAATACTCCACAAATTTTATCAAGGTGACAAATTTGGAGAAGTCTTATATATGCAGTATCTGCTTTCTAAAATCAATTTTATCTTCTAAATTTATGTTTATGTTAGACTGCCTCGTTTTATGAAAATATGAATATAGATGAGTTAAGATTTATTTGATGTTATGTGTTAAGACCACTGGTGGTGCTATGTTAGATCTAGGATCAGAAATAAAAATAGTTCTTTGCAGGATCACTCTCACAGCTACCATGTATTTCTAGAAAGTTCTAACGAGAATAGGAATTAAGTATAGCCCTACCAGTAACTCACCATATACACCTAGAACAGAAAACAACTGGACAGTTTTCTAAAGCAGAAATAGAATAGGATATCCATCCAACACTTCAGACTGCTAGAACCTCTTATTTTGCAGGTTATCTGGACCAACTCTCATTATTTTATAGGATAACAAAAATCAAAGGAAAAAAAGAGCCACAAATTGCTGAGAGTTTTGTGATAAAATATTTTCAGATGCATTTTCTGGAGGTGTATGGTTTATACCCAGAAATTCTGTACATACAAATAATCACAGTTCTTCTTATGAAAATGGTAATAGCCGAGTTATACCTTCTGTGTCTCCCTGAAACTCCTGGGGTGCACAGTTTTGAGTGATGAATTCCATGTTGGACATTTTCTCTCCAGACGGTGATGGCGCATGGCTGCTACCTCTCTGCAGAAGAACTGGACGTGTTCCATGAACGGGGAGCATCCATCTCACACTGTCCCAATTCTAATGTATCGTAAGTAGCAGAATAGTTCGGTAAATTATGATTGTGTGGGTTGCAGGTGGACCACAAACACCTTTCCTCTCTGAGTCATTCATGCCCCTAAGATGTGTCTTTTATTGTTAACTATGATTGGGATAGGAATTTGGGAGGTGGACATTTACCCTACTGTGGTGGAGAGAAAAAAAAAGAGCACTTAAGAGAGGATTTTTTTTTTTTTTGATAGAATATGTGTTCGAAGAGGACCATGACAAGGAATTTTGTATCTGTGACCTTAATTATGGCCTTGTAACCACAATAAGGGGAAACAACATTCTTTGGATGAATCATACAACATCTTCTAAATTAAAACATGATCCAGTTGTTCAGATTGAGGCCTGAAGTTAGGATACATTTCTGTTTACCTCTAACAACTTTGAGAGGTTTATTTTGGGTGCACTGGGGCTTTGGAAATGCTGTTCAGGTGCATTGTGAGCAGATCGATTTGACCTTTGCATCTTGTTGGACTTCTAGGGGTGCTTCAGTTTGTCTTTTTAGAAAGGTGACACATCTGGTAAGTTGTCATGAGGTCCAGAAGCCAGCCCAGGGACCCTCTCTGCTTCTCAGTACTGTTCTCAGCAGCAGCACTAGATGCAGGCCCTTGTGAGCTTGAACCCCTTTCACTAGTTGCACCCTCCTAGCTTTGATCTTGCACCTGCAGGGCAGAGAAGGGCCGGTACCTTTCCTCACCCAGCATAAGGGCCATGACCTATTCTCTATAACAGAAGACAGGATAACAGGAAAGCAGCCTAACCTAGTTATTTAGTCAGACCTTTAGAATGAAGATGGAAAGACAGATCTCTCCCTGTTTTTGTTCTGATTTGACAAAGCATGGACAAACGTAGAAGTGTGGTTAGACGGGAAAGATTTACCCAATGCTAAGATACTGAGAAAGAAAGACCACGCAGTCCTGCTATTCAAGTTCTTCTGGGCCTCTCCATGCAGCATTTTCAGGACCCTATAAAGTAGGCATCTTGTGGCTTTTATGGGACCTGGTAGGTCGAGAATTTCTTTGTGGCCCTTAAGATAGAATGCAGGGGGAGATTAGAGTAAAACTTAGCTTCTGTGGCTTGCTTTGGGGGAGATGCGTTTCAAGTTTCTGTGTCTAACCTTGAGTAAGAGAATTATTTTGTGGGGGGTACTGAGGATGAACCCGACATCTTGCACATGCTAAGCATGTGCTGTACCCCTGAGCTGCACCCCAGCCCTAAGAAACTCTAGTTTCTGTGATTTGCCTTGCAGGGAAGAAATAAGTCCAGGAAACAGGAGGACAAAACAAAGTCAGAAGCAGACTTTGATTTCTGAGATAGCTTTGAGCCCCAAAGCTGGGATGCCTCCTGAATGCTGACCCAAATCACTGTTCCCTCAGGGTCACTGCTTGTTCTGGACACCGAGGAAGGACAAAAGCTTTATAGTATAATTTCTGCTTTCTAATGACGAAAGACTTGATTAACAAAATTTGAAACAGATAATACTTGAACTAATTGCAAAGTATAATTTCTTTGTTTATTCTTTTCTTTCATATAAGTGACCCTCTGCTTTCCACTCTGATTCTTGCTTCTTTGCACCTTCCTGAGTATAACCTCAATCCCAGGATAAGCTCTTTCTGTTCTCCAGAAGATGTCACACCAGAACATAATGTGTTTGTGTCAGCATTAGGGTGAATATTAATGGAAGATACAATTTTCAGCGATGTCACCCTTATGATTAGGATCGTCCTGTTGTTGGAATCACATAGACCTGCTTGTTCTGACGTTGTCTCTCTCCACAGGCTCAGCAGTGGCTTTCTCAATGTGCTTGAAGTCCTGAAACATAACGTGAAGATAGGGCTGGGGACAGGTAAGGAGCTCTGCAAAAAGGTCAGCTGATGAATAACGTTCTGCTATGGCTGATTTAGAGGTAGTTCTTGTGTGATTAAGGGATGTGAGTTTCATTATTTGATAGCGATGTCTTCATATGTGTGTAGCCAAGCTGGATGGGAAGCAGCAAGGACATGTATGCAAAGAGTGAAGTTTCATTGACACTAACGCAGCCCGCCACTGTGCACAGCCATGGTCCCGATTTGCTGTTTAGAGATTAGGTTATAAAACGATTGGGTTATGAGTCTTTCTAAAGGGTTTTACAGTTTCATCTTTTTCTTCTTTTAAAGAAATCCTTAGTTTTTTGTTTGACTCCCTCTGGCTAGGTTTTAATGATTTGTATTTAGGGGTTTTAAGTTTTCAAAGTATTGTTATCACCAAGGCTTTTTCAAAAGACAATTTATTTGATCTTGTCATAGTGACCACATGTTCTCTGCCAGCACCTGAGAACTCTGAGATGGGATGAGAAAACCTTTGCTTTTAAGCAGTTTTGCCAGATGAGACTCCTGGCGTCTAAGGGCGTCTGATGATTATGGGCTGAAGGACATTCAGGGTGGCTGCGGAGCTAGTGACGCCTGCTTTCTTCTCTAGTTGTTTTGCCTGAGTGTAGGTTCGTTTATTCATTTTCAAAGTGAGAGTCAGGTCAAATGTCTAGGTATCTGCAGTGAGCCTTCTTTTATTATTAAAGAAATAATTTTTTAAGAAATTAAAGAGACTAAGGGCACAAAGACTTTTATTTCTGTTTTAAGACTTTAATTGACCCATAAAAATTATACACATTGATGGGATACCATGTGATAGTTCCATGCGTACATCGTATAATGTTTAAATCAAAGTGAACATATCTGTGTCCTCAGATACTGATCATTCCTTAGTGATAAAATAACTAAAAATCCTGTCTTCTAAATTTTTTTTTGAAATACATAGCACATTTCTATAGTGTCACACCAGATCTTATCTTTCTGTTTGTAATTTTGTCTCTATTCACCAATAATTTTTCCATCTCTCCCTCCTTCCATGCTCCCCAGTCTCCTTAACCGCCATTCTACTGTGAACTTTTATGGAAATCAACTGTGTTAGATTCCAAATACGAGTGCAGCCTTACGGTGCTCATCTTTGTTTTCCATTCTGTTCTCAGTGTGTTTGTCTCTCTGGTATTTCACCCCATCAGACTGCATGTATTGTTGACTCTGATGATTTCCACCATTTTCATCAATAATTTAAGTCTCATTTTGCCACAGTGAGCTATTTTACTATATCAAGTAGTTACTTGGTAAGACACAGGATTAGGCATAATTATTTTATTTATATTTTTAAAAAGATATTAGTTTTCTGCAATTTCACATAGAATCAAAGGAACTTAGAAACCTTCTAATTCAAGCCTTACGTCACCGATAGTGTGGTAATACCTGAACATACTCAGGAGTTAAGGTGTAAAACTAGCTGTTTACTTTCACAGAAAAGCATTAATGGTTAAGAAAGGAATGACCAAGAGTCAATTAATATGGCAATACAATGTAGTGAATTAATATGAAAGATTAGGCAGATATAAAAAATAGATTTTCGTTTCAGATCTTTTGGGATTTGGGGCCCATGTTCAATATATGACATCTAGCTCTTGACTTTGGAGGGTGTAGCTACAGCTTCAAAAATGTGAATGAAAGAAACATCCAGCTCATCAGAGTAAGATTTTAAACAAAATTAAATCTAAAGATTGACTTCATGATTTATATAACAATAATGATAGTAATTGTGTTTTGAAAATGACATAAAAAATTGCTTGCAAAATTATTGACACAGACCTGCCACAAAGCACTATTCAGTCAAGACTGGCTTAAAAAGAGAGGAGCAAGGGTGGTGAACTGACCAAACGTTCCAGGAGTGTGAAGCATTAGCTTCTTCCTTTAAAGAATGCTTTCCAGTTTTACTCAGTCTTTGACCCAGAGCCACCATGTACTCTGCCACTTCCTGAGCATAACATTTATGGATCAGTTTCCCCCATTCTTGTGGACTTTCGATAATATTCAAACTCATACAGTGGACCAAGAGAAGGTCCGGGAACAGCTCATTCACCAGCTACAATGAATGCAGGAAGAACTCTTCCAGGTGTGGTGTCATGAGGTGTTGGAGCCTTGAGGATTCTGAATTTGGGGGTAGCAGTACTCAGCCTATATTAAAGATAGCTACTTGCAGACTTCTAAAAATCGAATACCTTGTATTTGAAACATGAAGAAAACATAAAAGCAAATGCAAAGAGTGAATAATTGAAAAACAACAATCAGAAGGAAATATATAAAACTAGAGTGAATTTGCGTGAGCATGACAGACAGCTTCATTAAAACAAACACCCTCCAGGAGCCAGTGCCTCATCATGCGGTGATGATCTCCTTGATTGTTCTCAGCTGTTACATCAGCAGTTCATTGCCCTCCTTGGTGACTTCGATCCAGCCATTCCATGTCTTCACAGAATCCAGCATTCCTTCCCTCGTCTACCCCTCCTAGATGCCTGGGTACCTCACTAGATTGCCTTTTTCCCTCTTGCATTCTTTGTGTTCATTCTGCAGAAGTCCAAGCCTTGGTTACCTCAGCAGTTGTGTTTCTAGTGCCCACACGTAGGCATCTGGAAGTTGCCAGGGAAAAAAATCCCGTGATGTCTTGTTTTAAATTCTGCCATCAAATCTCGAGTGGACTTTACCTCTAGCAATAGCAGCAACTGTGTTTCTCTAAGAAGTGTATTTTTCCTTTTACCGAGATAGCCTTTTTTTCATCTATCTTTAAACGTTTTACCCCAACTCATTCTATCCTCACGCTCAACTTATAATCTCCTAAGTCATTACAAAAGCAGAAAAATCAGAAATTGTCCCCCCAGATTCTCACCACCACATTTAAATGCCTACTTGCATCTGCTGGTCTTTTCTTGTCCTGCTACAGTTTTAAAAAGAAAATGAGACTCTATTTCAGAATCAAAGGCAAAATACAAAAATACCCGAAAGTGTGTTTTTATACATTCCTTTCCCGCTCCCTCAGATAAATTCCTCTGGCCACTGATTCCCGTGCCTCCCCAGTACCCCCGTCTGCCTGATCACTCCTACAAATGTAGCTTCTGGGATTAGTGTCTGGCGTAGCTGCTGGGGTTTTCTGCAGAGACAGACCTTTTTCCTCTTCAGGCTTCTGCCTACATCTCTGCTTCCCTTTACCATCACATTTCTTCCAAGACTGGGACCCACGCTGCCGCTACTGAGATGCTTTTCCATCTTTTCCCCACTTCTGCCTGCTCTCCACGGCCACTGCTGTGGTCCTTTCTCTGGTGTCCGCCACCACGGTGATCTGTTTGCTGCTGCCTCCCGAGGGTGCGAGTCTGTACCCATCACAGGAGCAATCTCAGCAGTATGTGCTGTAGTTGACCGCTCTCTCCTTGGTCTGAACCATCTTATGTTTGAGTTAGTGAAAGAGTTTTGTGATGATTTCCCTTCTTTCTTGCTAGCTCTTTTCTCTCAGAAGACCTGTGCTCCTCTTTGTAGTTATTTGAGAAAACTTCCTTGGAGGCTTAGTCTTAGACAGTGTCTGCTTTGTGCTTGACAATTTCTTCTTAGGAGGATTATACATGGCTGTGTCTGCATTGTAGGCAAGAGACTTGCCACCCTGACTCCTTGGATTCTAATCTTGCATTTTTCGCTGCCTGCCTTCTCTTCTTCTTTGGCCTCTCCTGAAGAAACACCCACGCTCCATTATACTGCAGAACACCTTTCAGACTTCCTCTCTTAACTAGGTCTCCTTTTCAGAGAACTCAGTTTCTCCAGTTAGGCACTAGAGAATTATTTTGGGGACCTTCTCCTTTATCTCTCTCACACTTAACCCAGCACAGTACCCAGCCTCATGACTGCTTATTACCTTCTGAACCCGACCTGCTTTCCCCAGTGGGCCACTGCTATCTGCCATGAGCTGCCATCATTTCTGGATGATGTGCTACACTAGCCCCCTCAAAGGTCCTTCCTGGCCCCTCATGATCCATTCCTTTTTCAGAAGAGTCACAGAAGCCTGATGATTCCACCCCTTTGTGTGTGCCACCCTCTGGTAGCTATGGTATGTGAGGCCCTGGCAGCAGGACCGCATACCTCTCCGCGGTTCCCAGCCCCATCTCAGACGGCTCTCTCCTCCTGACGCTTGGCTCCATTTCAATCTCCTCTCTGTTGAGCCAGAGTCAGCAACTTCTCAGAAGAGTACCCCAAAATCTGTCCAACTAAAAGTTTCCAAGATAAATTTGCCAATAATCGGGTTTAAGAACATCCTGCATTGGAGAGGAAGATACAATGCAGGTGTGAAGAGAGCCTGGGTTCAAATGCCAGCTCTACCACCAGCTGGTGCAGCAGGTCACCTTGACAGATGGCAGTGTAATTGTCATTGTGCTTTGATGCTTCTCTTTAAAATGGGGTTGATGATATTAGATGTCATACAGAATTATTTTGAAGATTAGGTAAATATGTGTGATACTCTTGGAATAATTCTTGATGCAATAACAGTTAATACTAATTGATTATTATGTGTTTGGCATTGGTTTTCTTTTCTATATAAGTTCTTTTGTTTCTTTTTAATCAACTTGTAATAATAATGCAGTAATGAAGGCTTAATGGATGCTTACCATCTCTTTACAAGGACTAATAACTTAAATAGATGTAGTAAAACTTTTCAAGAAACTGGGTGATCTGCTGGCAATATCTTCATGCTTAGAGAAAAGCATTTTCTCTGTGGGTTCCTCACAAGCTTATGTAAGAATGTGTAATACAGTAAAGCAAAACTGAGCTGCCGTCTATGACTGCTGTTAAACAAGAAATTACTGTTAATATTTGCTCTGTATAAGCAGTTATGTATGTCTACTTAGGAATGACAGAAGCAACCCTTTAAAAAAGTTTTTTTAGCTATAAAATGTGTTATTCCAGTGTAACCTACCAACTAACTTGACATTTATACAAAATCATTTAGTACCTTGTACATTTGTTCTTCTCAAAAGTAGTATTTCAATTTATTGTAATTAGGTACTTTATTTAAATCACTAAAAAAATCTTACTTCAACCAATGTAGAAATCTGACTACACTGGCATTGTTTAGTTATTATACCTTTTTCTCAAAATATATATTCATCCTAAAGAATAAGTAGCTTTTTAATTTTCTAGAGTTCTCATCTTGATTAATATGAACTCAGGACAAGTTTTTAGAATATAGAACTGTATTTTGTTTTTTAAAAAATTTTATTTAGAAAAGACTAAACAAAACAGAAAATGGGTAGAAATAATACATTCAGAGAAAAAATAAGGAGTAAGAAATCACTAGTTAATGTTTATATACTGTCCTTTTACAAATAGTTGTTCAAGATAAAAAAGTGGAACATATAAAGTGGGAATCCAAACAGCGAGACTGCAAACATAGAACTGTATTTTAAATCACATGTTATGTAGCTTACATTATCTTTCAAATTATACAGGCATGTTTGAACAATTTCTGTGATAGTGCCAGGAATATTAAAAAATTAACCTCTTAGCCTTATAACAGATTGATTGTTATAGCACATTGAATTGTGACCCAAATGTGTTTCCCAGAGCCTGTAAGTATGACTTTATATGGAATAAAGGTCTTTTTAGTTGTAATCAAGGTAGGGTTGTCAAAATGAAATCAATCTAACATAGTGTGGGCCAAAATCCAATGATCTGTCTATGTAAGAAACAGAAAAGGAGAGACATATAAAGCCATAGAAGGAAGAAGCAGTTTGAGACAGAGACTGGATTATAAAGCCATAATCCAAGCAATGCCAGGAGCCACTATAACCTGGAAGGAAGAAAGGAAAGATTTTTCTTAGAGCTTTTGTAAGGATAGTGGCTCTGCCAGCCTTTGGACTTCTGACTTCCAAAACCATGAAAGAAGAAATGTCAGCTGTTGTTAAGCCACATTTGTGCTAATTTGTTGCAGCAATCCTAAGAAACTAATACAAGAATACCTTTGATACTAATTACAGGTTTCAGATTTTTTAAAATGTTGATTTTTAGGTAACCTAAATTTATATACAAGAGCTTTTCTGTAAGCATATTAAAGATGGAACATTGCTCAACAAAATAAAAACGGTAGCGTATGCCTGCTATTCCATTTATCCTCATATAATCACTGGTTTGGCTTTCTTTTGCCCACCGTAGATGTGGCTGGTGGCTACTCGTATTCCATGCTTGATGCAATCAGAAGAGCATTGATGGCTTCCAAAGCCCTTTTGATTAACAAGGTAAATGAGAAAAGCCTCACTCTCAAAGAAGTCTTCAGACTAGCTACTCTTGGAGGAAGCCAAGGTAATGACTGTTTATTTCTATCTCAGAAATTGCACAATTATGCTAATCGGTGTCCTGGGATAGAATGTGAAGGTGTGTGATGGTGGAACCAGGACCATTCAGTATTCCTGTCACGCCTCCCATAATATACCCAAAACGTAGCCAGGAAATATGTGTTCAGGTGTGTGGTAGCGGAATTGTTCGGTGAATTCACTGTCTTTGAAGAAATAGATACTTGATAGACAATTGTCATGTTAATCATTTTAATGGATATTTACATTGGTCACTTGCACTTTTTTCTTTAAAATAATCTATTCTTTCATTGAATCTCTCCTGGATTGAATGGCACTAACAGTAAAAGTGATAATCGAGACTTTCCAAAATCTTACCATGTCATAGGCACCATGCAACACACTTTCTGTACACTGTCATGAACCACCACAAGCGCTGCTGTTAATTTCATTTTACAACAAGGAACTTAGGTGGGTTTTATAAGGCTGACAAGCTGCAACATGCTGAGATTTGAGTCTAGAAAATCTACTACCAGATGCTGATTCGTATCTTTTCCCCTCCACTATAATATCTTCTGCTGTAAATCCTTCCTATTCCATGTACATATTTGGTTAATATGTTTAAATATGCTAATGAACCAAGGCTTTTTAAAATTAGAAAGATGTAAAAATATAGTTGGCTTAGAAGTGAATATTTTTTCTTCATTTTTCTCAGTTCTCATATATAACTATTTTTATTTAAAAATGTGATTGCTTTGCTTTAAGTCACTTTAGAAATACAGTGTAATCTAAATGGATGATGGTGAAAATAGCATAAAATCACAGGTAACCAGTGAAATTTAAAAACATAAAGACACAAATATGGAGATGTAGATTTATGGAAGCTATTCTGTGCCTTAAAAATGGAGGGTGATCCAAAGGCTAGCACCATACTATTAAATGCAACTTCTTAGCTCTTCTTTGAATGTTCTAAGTTGTAATGAGCACCATCAAGAACATTTCAAGCAAAACAAATGGCAGTTATGATTTTTGCACTTCTTAAATCTTATGGTTTTAGTTTTTAAACACTAAGTTTCAAGTGATCCATTTTTGTAAGTGTGATGCCTTCTAACCCACATTATCAGAGTATTTTTGAATCTGAGTTTGGTTCAAGTTGTTCTGTTTCCCTAGTGCAAACGAGGTGAATTTAACAAATGCTTTTTTTTATTCTAGGCTCTCTGTGGTTTGCTCCAGCAGGATCCTGTTTTGACCAAGCTATCATGGGATGCCTACCAAATGTTTTCTGCCTTGCAATGTGCCTTTTAAATCTGTGTCTCTGGGCCACTGGGTGACTGTCACAGGATTTCTTCTCCTTAACTTGAGTCTCTACTATAGTTGGAGCAAAATGAGATGAATGGGTTACTGTGTAAAGTGTGGCGTTTCCTGAGCCCTGCCACAATCTTTAAACTCACTCTCAAGATCATAGCATATAAGAATCATCTCCACATAGCTAATGTTTGCTCCAAAGGCAGCAAAACTGCAATTCCTGAAATGCATTTGAGTTGTTTACCCTCACAGCTGGGTCCATCTGTAGCAATCTAAATTTACATCGGTTTACAAATTCATTGAAGCACTGTGTCCTTTTTGGTTAGCTCATTCTTGAGTGCTTCAGATTCTAATGATTTGGACCTAGCTGTCTGATCTATAAAAAGCACAACAGTTTTATGCTGAATACAGTCCTTAAAAACTCATGCCTCTGTGTCAGAGGCAAAAAGAAGTAGAGTGTAATCAGTGAAGGAGAAAAATTTCTAGGGACTTTCTGTCATATGTGATGCTTCTTCTGACAATTAGATCATCTAACTGCTTTTAACATTTCTAATTCTTTTCATACCACTCTCTTGCTATGAGAATTTTTTAGATTAAAAAAAATCTTTTTCTTTTCTGAGAATAAAAGAGTTTCCATTTAGATAATCTTTTAAGAACAAGGATTCTAAGTCAGTGATCTCAACTTTGCCAAGTCTGGATACATGTTCATAAAATATGTGTCAGATACTGTATTGCCTCCCAGGGAAAATCTACTTAGTACTTTGAAAGCAGACTATATTCTGACAGTAACAGAATAAACAATCTTATGTAACAATGGAAATAAATAATGCAGCACTCCAGTTAACCTTACTTTTGGGCATGTTTGCTTCTGACAGTTCACTTTCTTGGATTATAAGCTTTAATGAGATTTAGTTTCATCCCCTGCATTGACCAGAAAAGCCATCTACGATTCTTTTAACCCTAAATCATAGAAAGAACAGATTTTCTTCTTTGGCATTCAGTAATCATGGACATGAATTACAGCTGTGAGATGGGCCAAGTCAATACACATTATTGATCTGTGCATTAGTTTAGAAAATCATTCTTCTCAAGCAGTTTTGAGGTTACAAAGCAATTGCTGTCCTTTTAAAACCATTGTGACTCAAATTATGAGAAGCTCTTTACATTGCCATGTGTTTTTTTTTCCTATCCCAAGTATTTAAACTACAAAATTTGTGATAGATATGCCTGTATTTGCAAATATACAGAAGTATATTTAATTATTTTTATTTACTGAAGGTTCTTTTCACGGTCATGAAAATAAATCTTGTCAGCGATTTCATGAAAAAACAGGCAAAGAAAGGAACTGGTGTGTTGGGAGGAGAAGAAGAAGGAAAAAGAAGATTGATACTATGGCAGTGATGTTTCTCAGATGCAGAAAACCATAGACCAGTTGGCTATGAAATGCTCTGATAGGGCTGAAACAGAGCAACATCATCAAAATTATAATTATGTGCCCAAGGGAACTGCTTTTATTCTCAGATTTTGCTTTCCTGTGTTTACTCTGCTTTTATAAATAGAATTTCGGTGACCTATTCAAATAAGAGCACTTCTCTGCCCCACTAGGATACTAATTTTTTTCTAGTGATGTGTTGGCAGATTCCGCCCTTGCAGACTGGCCTGCTAGCATGATCTGATGGCTTGCAGGACTGACTGTGTGGTCCCTTGTTCCCCACTGCAGCCCTGGGACTGGACAATGAGATTGGAAACTTTGAAGTAGGAAAAGAATTTGACGCCCTCCTGATCAACCCCAAAGCATCTGACTCTCCCATTGACCTGTTTTGTGCGGATTTTGCTTCTGATGCTTCTGATGTAAGTAAAAGACAGTTAATCAAAAGATATTTCATAGAAGTCCTAACAGCTTCCCTGTAGAAAAGAACATAGCAGCTGAAACATTCTAATAAGATGCAGGAAAATCTAAAGAGACACTAGATCCCTTTGATTATTACTATTATGTCATGAAAGCAATGTTAAGAAAATTTATCTGAGCATGGTGGCACATACCTGTAATCTTAAGCATTTGGGAGGCTGACGCAGGAAGATTGCTACAAGTTTGAGGCCAGCCTGGACTAAAGAATGAGACTGTCTCAAAAGACCAAAAATAAAAAAAAAGAAAATTTGTCGTAAGACAATACTTAAATTTTGTATGTGTTTGTGTAGCTGAATGTGTGTGTTTATAAGGACCCATACTGCAGTTAGGGTACACTGAATACCTGCTAAGGGCGGGGTCACTCTCAGACGTAATTCTATTCAGTTATCAGAACAATTCCAAGAGAGATCAATACTGTTAATATTGCCATGTTAATCACAGAATCAGTGAGACATAGAAGAAGTAACAGGAGTGGCCTAAGGATTCATAGGTAAACCCTACTAGCAGTTAATACAGCTTAGATGCAAATAGGACTCTGACCATCACAGGCTGGAGTGTTGGCCACTGTGCTACATCAATTTTCTTAACAGAAAATGAATTCGTTCTTCTTACAAAATCTTTCCTTATGAATATAAAAACTGACCCATCTTTAATAATTATTGTTTATGATTGTTTTTCCAAAGAAGAATTGATTACTGTTATTTGTAAGCTGATCTATTTACTAACATAAATGTGTCAATAAATATATCATTCTAGGGTGTTTAAAAGATAAATGCTGGATTATTTCTAGTTTGTATTATTTGTTATTTTAGGGGAGGAAATATCTCTTTCTTTACCATGCTAGGTTTAAGCTGAAGTCCCTACAATGAAAGACAGATGAACCAGAAAATGTTTTAAGTTTTCTGTGATGAAAGATCTTTCTTAGTGAAAAGAAAGTCCAAAGAGATGAGAAAACCTGAGTATTTTTATTCTAAGTTTGATGAAGAACGTAGAGTTGGGGTGAAACACAATAGAGAAAAGAGTGTGATCTAATGATAGTGAACTGGGGAAAGCTAGCAAGACCTGACTGTTGAGGCTTCTGTGTCACCTTCTCTCTTCAGAAATAGGGGTGAGAGCACCTCTCCCAAGAGGCTCTTCCAACCTGATTCAGGGTAAGGTCAGAAAATTCTTCCTAGATCCGAGCATCTGCTTCAGAGAGAAAGGTGCAGGGCAGATCACAATGATGGTGCTGGCTTTAATTTTTAGGTAGCATGTCCTGACTTCATCAGCACTGTTGTATTACCTACTCTTCTGCTCCAGTGAATTTCTAAGAATCCCATTCATCTATTTTCTTTATATCCTATGCCTCCTGAAATATTTGAATCACTTCATTAAATTAACCTCTTTAATTTATATAATGCTTTTTCTCTGAAGATTCTAGCATTATATACCAATAACTTTCTGCCAGTGGCTAAATATTTGTTAATAACCAATGGATTAAGCTTTTGTTTGTTCGTTTGTTTTAGGTTTTGTTAGGTTTGGGGGAAAGACTCTTAATTACTAGAAATAGATTTTGACATTGAGAAATAAATTTCAGTTTCTGGGCTTTGCCAGCCAGGTTCCTGTGAATTTCCTTTTCTAAATGTACAAGACATTACAGGCATTTCTTATTGTCTTTGTTTTTTATTTTAGGCTGTTATCCAGAAGTTCTTCTTTCTAGGTAGGTACATTTGTGTGCTAAATAAATGGTTGTCTTTTCCTTGTGTATAGTTCACTGTATTTGTTTTACCATGTGGTAAACTCTGTATGTTAGTTGGTTTTGATTCATTTTTAACTTTCCCCGGCGTGGAACCTGTTTATTCACAGTATTTAAGTTGCACCATTGTAAGTCCCAAGAGGAAGGAGAAGGACAAAGGGGTAGAGATGTTCACTTTCAACCCTGGGTGCTCCTTCTGCACCCCCGTCTGTTCTGTCCCACTGTGAGTGTGGTTGTCCAGGATTCTCTCCTCATGTGCTTCCACTGAGCTTCTCTTCCACTTTACGAGAAGTATTGTGAAGGGGTCTCCTCTGCCCTCCCTTCCATTGAGCCCTGTGTCAGCTTGAGATGCAGAAGCGCACACATCACTTCCTGTGGAGCTCGGTTTCTGCAGGCTGCTCCTGTCCCCACACTGAATCTGATGCTACTGTGTAAAGATTCCTGTTCCTCTTCCACCTCGGGCTAAGAATACCAGCAACCACTTCAGCTGAAAGGAGAGGGATGGAGGTGGTTTCAACTAGATGTCATTTTGCCTTAGGTGCAGAACTCAGACCCTGCTCCTCAAATTAGCTATGCCATGTTCTGATGACGTCATCTTGACCAGATTATAAACAAGACGAGGTAGAGGGAGGAGGGGAGGACAGCTCTTTTGATTTCTTTAGAAATGTTTATTTTAAATCTCTATTAATGGCAATTAACATAGTTATCAACACTTAATGGATTATTTTCATTTTCTTTCAGGAGATGACCGAAATATTGAGGAGGTTTATGTGGGCGGAAAGCAGGTGGTTCCATTTTCTAGTTCGGTGTAAGACCCTTGGCCACCTACAAGGTTCTCCAGAGACAACCTGGCTCTGTAGCTCCCTTGGACCCAGGCAGGGTCAGAAAGTCAAAAACAGTACCTCATTCTTGGGATGACGGTCTCTTTCTGTGTCTAGTTACTATATTCACTTCGTAAATTGTTTGAAGGAAGTGTACTTACTCTCAGCTCTGGCTGGCAGGTTCCTAATTTGATGAAAATCTTTGGAGCTGTTCAGATTTAGTTTAAGCTCAAGCAAAAGAAAATGTTGACTAGTGGTGACTTATGAGAACGAAGTAAAATCTTTTGCATATATGGAAATGCAGAGAGAAAAGGTATTCCTATTTGGTTAGCTATTTTGAGGTAGTAAGTATGAAAATTACGGGAACTGAAAATGGACCCAAAGATATATTTTTATGAAGGAGCAAAACTTGGTGAACAAATGTTGGAAAATAGCTTTGGATTGTGTTTGAAAATTATATCCTGAGCATACTGATTTAAAAGACAACCAGCTGATTTTAAAATGTGTTTCTTGATTGATCTTGTGTTAGAAATTTGCATTTAATGGAATTTGCATTTCAGAGACATGTTATTGTTGTGTTTTGCCTTCTTTCAGGGATGAATATCAAAAATTGAAAGCCACATGCTTTTTAAATATAGTTCTGTGCTTTAAAATATTTGACAGAAGCTGAGTACTAAAGACATAAAGTCTCTTAGAAATACTATTCATATAACCACTGGCATAAATTGTTGTATTTTGTGTACTTTAAAATCATCTTAGTTTGTAACTATGTGATGTTATAATTGCTTCATTTTGTTATAAGAGAAACAGATTGAAAACCCATTATTGTGCAGATTTGCATCTTCATAAACTGGAGCAAGTAAGTGGGTGTCAAAGGCTCCTTTCCAATGGCCCATTCTACCCAACCCTCTGCTGTAGCTGCTGGAAATTTTGTTCTCAAAAATTAATATGCTAGTGCTTTCAAGTGAAGGATAAGTTATGTTAAAGAAATACTATTAAAAATCTTTAAACTTGGTATATTGAAAGTGCTATGTTTTTCAGTTGTATTCAGTTGACTGTTTAATTCCTTATAAAATTTCTGGACTTTCAGATTGTAGTATAATAAAAGATATACAGCTATTTCAGTTAATGTTTATGTTAACAGGACTTAATCTGTTCCAGACATCTAGGAACATTAAACAATGTGATTTTACGCTTCCTAACCAATATAGTATCCTTTTCCATAACCTGGAATTAAAATCACATTGTGACTGTAGATAAACTTTTAGAAAGTATCGGTGTCTTACTTAAATCCTGTGTTTCCTAATTTGTTCCATGTACTACAGATAAACAAACAAGGAAAGGAAAAGATTTTCTCAGTAGCATAACATTCATTTCTAGGACTTGAGTGTAATTCATTAATGTTACCTTACAGTAGAAAACATATAAAATATAGTTAATCACATATTTACACAACTAAGAACACAATTCCTGTCCTGTAAGGTAAATACCATTTTCACATACTCATTTTAATTCGGTAGTAATTTGTCAGAGTTTTTTTTTTGTGATAGAACTCTTTCAGATTTGATTGTGTATATACTGCATTTAGTGGTGGAACACAATTTTTAAAAAAAACAAACACAGTTTGTTTTGTGGGATACTTAATAACTCAGTAAATCCAATTTCCAATGTCAGTCTGTATTTCCAGAGTTTGTCATTCCTGAGCCACATCAAAGCAGATCTGCCAAATTTCTCCCCATTTCTGTACAGTGCTGGAAAGTATTTTATGCTCTAGCTTTCATCCCCTGTCAGAGGAGGTTACATGTTTTCTAAGTAAATGAATAAGCTTAGGAGCCTGGATGAGATGTGTAAGAGCCTGCGATTGCAAACAGCCACTTCCAGGCTTCAAAGGAATCTATACTGTCACCTTCCTTAAGGTAAACATTTTGATAACGAGCATCAGCTTTCATTTAGACTTGGGATTCATATACAGTAATACAAATTAATTATAGTATCAAAAGCAAGAATAATGGTCAGACACAAACATTTTGTCCTACATTCAGTTTAGCCCTGATAGTAGCTTAAGAACCAAATAACTTTCCTAGCAAAAATAGAATGTGTTGAAATAGTTATATGCACTTTGATCTCTCTGCATCCTTTGTAACTTAAGTATTTTATTCCCCAAGTTCAGTGCTCCTGAATGTTATATATGCTTTTTTCAGTACCGTGGGCATTAGCCTTATCTGGGCCCAGATGTTCTGCACTTTGAAAGGCTGCATTGCCTAATGTAGGAAGACGGTCTGGATTGTGGAGAGGTACTCTTCCCAAGCCAGCTCTGCTTGGCACTTTATGTTTAAATGGTTTGCTCTCTGGCAGGAAAAAATTAAAACTCTGTTCTCCCCTTAATATACCCTGCATCATGGTATTTCAGTGAAGTACATTTTAAAATGTAAAACCGTATTTACAAATATCATGTGCTATACATTCACAAAATATATTTGTAACCATAACTAAAAAGGAGGCTCACCAGTTCAGGTGAAGTTGGTTTTCAAGAGAGAAAGAAACATGGCAAATAAAAGATCAGGATGTGAGAAGTTATCCTCGTCATCAACCAAGGTAAAGGAGACACTACTTTATTTCCCAGCTGCTACTCTGAGTTGTCTATAGATTTTAGAACCCAAGAGGATGTCTTGAAACAAGTTCCCTTTGAACCCCATTTAATCTCTTTTCTATTTCAATGAGAAGTCTAAAAGTTGCAGGAAGGGGAATGGTAAGAAGCATGCTTCTTTATGCTTAGCTGATTTTGAAGTGTGCCCCGGAATATCCCTCTTGGCAAGCACTGCTGAGATCTTAGAGAGGAAACATAATGGGTGTGAGATCTCACCATGTATTTGAATTTTCACTCCCCACCAGACTTCCTGGTTTTAATATTTTTTTTTTTAACCTCAGAACCAGACAGATGGAAAACTTCAAAGGTGAGCAGGGAGGCACAATGCATCCATTCTACCTTGCAGGATGCATAGGAGATACCCAGAGCTGGAAGCTTCTGAGGGCCCCTGGACATCTTTGCATTGCTGTCCAGTTTTTAAATTGGCTGTGCTACTGAAAACATTCACATATCTAAAAAGAATGCTCTGAGTTACTAAGAGACCCTGTGTCATGGTATTTTCAGTGAAGTCCATTTTAAAATATAAAACCGTATTTACAAACATCATGTGCTATACATTCACAAAATATATTTGTAACCAGAACTTTTTGATGCGATTAAATGTAACTTCCAAGAGAGCTTTCATAGTCCATGGAGTTCAGGGGACTTGGATAGTAGATGTCATTCCTTAATAAATTGTGTTGCAGTGACTTGCCTGTCTAGTTTCCACTCAAGAGCCTGTTAGAAAACATTCCTTGGTCAAAATCACTTTACATTGTTATTAAATGCCTGATCACTACCCCTAAGAATATATAAATATCTATGTGTATACATATATTTATAGAGACATTTATTTGTATGATTCGCTTATTGTTATTTGCTGAGTGAGCTCCTTTGTGCTTTAAAAAAAATAAATGAGATTATGTGTTTACCTTATTTTTGTGTGCCTGTGATTTGGTTTGTATGAATTCTCTCAGTCTGATAAGCAGACTAATCTGATTTTTTTTTTCATTTTAGCAAGTATTTTAAAAAACAGAATATTTAACTGTGGGCCTGCATTATCTTCTAGCCTGTGACAGTAATTCTATAAAATCTTTTAAAATTAAGCTGTGAGCCAGGCATGATGGTGCATGCCTGTAATCTCAGCACTCAGGAGGCTGACGAAGGAGGATCACAGTGAGTTTGAGGCCAACCTTAATTGCATAGCAAAACCCCATCTCAAAAAAAAAAAAAAAAGGAAAAGAAAAGATAAAAGGTATAATGTTCACCTCTTTAAAAATCACATTGCTATTTCTTTTAATGTTTATACAGTTTATTTTCATACTTTTATTGTCCAAAGAAATTAATGCTACATTAAGAAAACAATTCTTAAAGGTATATTCAACACAAAAATTTCATAACACCTTATCTGTGATGTCAGTTGTTCTCAATACTGTTTTATTCTATTCAATTTTCTTTTTAAATTTTATTTTAAAGGGAATAAAACTGAACAAAATAAAACAATAAGGGATTATGTTTTCTGATCTTTATTATTGTCTTCCATTCATTTAAAAAAATTTCTCAAGGAAAGATATGAGGATATTTCATAACTCTTCTCATAAATGTACTTGGTGTTAAAAAAAACATGCATGAGAGAAGTCATACCACCAACCCTACTCCTTGCATGAATAAATATATAAGTGTAAAATGGTAATGAAGCATAGCTGGTACAGGGGTGAGCCGTGTTTTGTTTTGTTTTTTTCCTCCATTCTTTTCTGATTTTTCATTTTTTTAAAGAAATAAAAAGTGGGAACTACAAAAAAAAACACAAAGTAAAACAAAACAATGAAAATGTTAAAGGACTTCAAAATCAGATAGTAGGAAATCAACAATGGCTACCACAATGTATCTTGTTACCTTCAAAATAGTTGCCCAAACCATCAGTCATAATAAAATCAAACAAAACAAGACAGAATAAAACCAAACTTAACAATGAAAATGATACAGAAATTCAAAACAAGGTAATAGGAAATTAACTGGTTACCGCCTTTCTTTTTTAGATGTTTCCTCCCCTATCCCTTTGATATCTATTATACATTTTGGATCCCACTAACTCCAGTTTTTCATGCTAGGGAGATAGCACAGTGTTTACTCACATAAGTCCAAACTGTTTTAACTCACGAGTATGATCTCCAGTTGCATCCATTTTCTTTAAAGATGAATAGCCTTCCATTGTATAAAAATACAGTATCTTTCTCATCCATTCTGTGGTTGATAGGCAAGCTACCCCTGCTTTTTTCTGGTTTTCCTGCTGCATGGCACATTGTTTTCTCATTTGGTCTGTGAGTTTTCTTTCCAGTTAAATGTGTTGTATACAGCATATTGATGGATCTTGTTTCTTGATCCACTCTCCCTGTATTTCATTTTACTGGTGAATTGAGGCCATCTACATTAATGGTTATAACCCACCTGCATTGGCTCATCTCTGCCATGCTATCCTCCTGTCATTGGCCCCTTACTTTTCCTCTCCATTCAGTTGCCTGCCCTGTGTGGGGATCCCCCTCTGCTGCTATTCTTGGAACCATGGTCATCTTTAATCTCTCTAGAAAATCCTTCAGTGCTGTTCTGTAGGGTTGGTTTGGTGGTCATGAATTCCTTCAGTTGTTCTTTATCATGGAAGTATCTTACTTTTCCATTTTTTAAAAATGGTTTTTCAGGGTACATCAGTCTGGGTTGGAAGTTGTTTTCTTTCAGGATTTGAAAAACTTCAAGTTCTTGACTTGGTGATTTGTGCTGAGAAGTCTGTTATGATTCTGGTGAGTTTTCCTTTATAGGTGATCTGTTTTTCTCTAAAGCTTTTAATATTCTGTTCTTGTGTTGAATTTCTGGAATCTTGATTATTATGTCTTGGTATAGATTTATTTTGGTTATGCCTAGTTGGAGTTCTATATGCTTTGCTTATCTGTATACCAGATCCTTTCCCCATGTTTGGGAAGTTTTCTGCTATTACTTCTGTAAGCAGTCTTTTTATGTCATTTGTGTTGACCCCTGCTTTTTCAATGACACTTATCACTCTTAAATTATTTTTCTTTGTGTAGTCTTGCAGCCCTTGAATTGTCATTTCCTGGGTCCGTACTTTAAAGAGATCTTTTCCTTCATGGTCACTAACTACAATCCTGTCTTCAAGGTCTGAAAGTGTATTTTCAGTCTCTTTAAAGTAGTTTTGCCAGCTTTTGCTGAAGTTTTAAATTTCCTGGATATCTCTCTGAATCTGTTTCATGCATTTTAATTCCTTTCTATATTGTTCATTCAAGGTTTCCATCATTTTCTGATGCTCCTCTTTTTTTTGTTATCTGTGTTTTCTTTAGATAAGCTCAGCAATTCTTTCACTGTTTGTGATTTCTTCTTTTATCTGAGATAGTATTTCTGATCTGATTACATTTACAGCCTCATAGAGTTGGTTTTTTTTTTTTTTTAGGTGATCTATAGTAGTTACTATGCTTTCTCTTGTTATTTTCAGTAGAACTGTCTACATCATCAGGCATAATATAATTGAACATAACATTACATAGCTATTTTAATAAAAGCACAACTTTGAAGACATTGTAGGACTTGAAAGCAGTTAATAATCAAAACCGGAATGGATATCTTTTACATCTTGTCATCTTCAGAGTAGTTGCCTCTACTCTTAGACTTGATACTATCAAGCATACCAAATTTGAGTACAATCAGTTGAGGCTAGACAGCGGTCTAACAAACCAGCTTCAAATAAGATCAGTCATAGAAAGACAATGTAAGTAATACAGGGTTTCAGTGTAAGTTAATAGGAAACTAAGGATAGTTACCATGCTATAACCTAATATTTTGGGGTTAGCTGTCTGTGCCCTCAAATCTCGTATGAGTAGACAGACCGGAACAAAATATAATCAAACTAAACAGAGCGATAAGACTACCGTGGCTTCTAAATTCTGATACACTATTAACAATGTCCTCTGCTTTCATTTTTTAGACAATTCCTCCTTTTTCCCTTTCTCAGGGCACTTTGTACATTTTGAGTCCCACTAGCTCTTTCAGTTTTTAGATTAGGGGGCCAACCTTTTATCTATCTGAGTGTTGCTAAACCTTTTTAGCCCTGAGCTTGATCTTGAGCTGTACTCCTTTACTTACTAAAGTCACAAGGTTTTCCTTCCTTCCAGCTGGGTAGTTCTACACTGCCTGAAAGGGACATAGCTTTCCAATCTATCTGCGGCTGCTGGATGAATTGTCCCTATTTCTCTCTGGTTTCCTGTCACATATGGCATTGTTTTCTCATCTTTGACTCTCAGTTTATTAACTCTCTTTCAGGTTGAGTATATTTCCTATTCAGAGCATCTTGATGGATCCTGCCTCCTAATCTACTCTGCCTGTGTTTCTTTTTTGGTTAGTGTCTCAGGGCTATCTATATTAAAGATTATAGCTTACCGTAGTCTCTGCCTCATTTCTGCTATTTTATTCTTCTGCTATTATTTGTCCACTTTACTCCTTCATCCCACTGTCTGTCCCATTCAACTGAGGCCTCTCTGCCACTGTTGCTGGAATCCTGGTATTTTTTCTCTCTCTCTGGAATGTCCTTCAGTATTTTTTGTAGGATTGAGTTGGTGGCCATGAACTCCCACAGTTCCTCCTTGTCTTGGAACTATCTTATGTCTCCATTAATTTTGAGAGAGAGTTTTTCTGGCTACATCAGTTTTGGTTGGAGGTTATTTTCTTTTAGGCTTGGACTATTCCCCCCAGGCTCTTCTTGATTTGAGAGTTTGTGTTGATAAGTTTGTTGTTATTTTGATAATTTTTCCATTGTAGGTAATCTGCTTCTTTTCTCTGGCTGCTTTTAATATTCTGTTTTTGTGGTGGATTTCTGGAATTTTGATTATTGTATGTCTGGAAGTAGATCTGTTTTGGTTGTAGGTGGCTGGAGTTCTGTATGCCTCATTTATCTGATATCATTTCTTTTTCCTATGCTTGGGAAGTTTTCCTTAATTATATCTGTGAATAGTCTTTGTAGTTCTTTTGTAGTTACTCCCGCTTCTTCACTCACGCTTTTTATTCTTAAGTTATAAATCCTCTTGTCATCTTCTAGCCTTTCATTTTTTCTTCCTGGTTCCTTGTTATTTTTAAGAGATCTTTTCTTTCATGATCACACACCATAAATCTCTCTTCAAGTTTCAAAAGGCTGTTAGTTTCTATCAAGGCATTTTGCCAGCTTTCAATGAAGTTTTTAGTTTCCTTTGGATCTATTTCATGTATTCTAGATTTTGTTTATATTCTTCATCAAAGGTTTCTCTTCCTTTTCTGAGTTCCTCTGTTCTTCCACCTGTGTTCTTTTGGGAGGGGCTTATCATTTCTTTAATTAATCTTTTTATATCTTGCCTCACTTGGATCAGAAGTACAGTTTTAAATTCATCTATGAGGTCATGAAGGTATTTCTTTATGTTCACTGATGCTGTATCTAATATTGCATGATTACTGCTCTGATTCTCTTCTGTATTTACCTCTCCTGGGCTTATTTTTCCAGGGTCAGTGACTGGAGGTTTTTTTTTTTTTTACTTCTGTCTCTTGTCATGTTTCTGGTTTTTTTCAGACAGGTGTGTCTGGCCCTCTCCATATTGCTTAGGGTCTTTCCAAAGCATGCTGACTGGGGTATTGCTGCCCTCCCCAATTTGCTGTTATCTGAGGTATCTTAAACTCCCTCCCAGGGGCTCAGGATGGTGCGGGGACACTCACCCCAGGCCGCCCAGTCCAGAGTTCAGGGCACAGGCAGGCAGGCCCAATTCCCTGAAGCTGGCTGAGCACGGCAGGAAATCGGAAAGTACTGGTTCTGTATTTTTTATTATTATCTGAAGAGGTGTTTTCAGAAGCAGATTCTCTGGGCTCCATTCCCGGTGGTGACTCCATGGGGCTCTGGTCACACAGGCCTGCTG